CACGCAGGAGGACCATAAGTAACAATAACGCTCTGCATAAAGAGTCTAATCACTTGAATGAACTCTTGCCTACATTACCCTCTCCTGATGTTTACACATTCTTGGGGAGCGAAGAGCAAGGCAATCAGCCATCAAAGGAATTTACAACAGGCTTTGCTGCCAAACAATGTCAATTAACTGCACAAACTGTAATTTCAATCTTCAAACAGTTACCTCTAATAAATACAAATGTGAATTCCTTAAAAACAGCTTGTGAAACTTTTGTGCAGAGCTTTACAGAAAAGCTGGCAGCTTCTGAAACAGCCTTTAATTTTGGCACCAATTGGGACCTGTTTACAAATACTCAAAGAAAGCAAAAATGTTTAGAAGAACTACGACCGGAAAGGACATAAGATCAGAGGCAGTGTGTGCAGCGGCACCTTCTGCCAAAGAGTTAAGTTCAAATATATGCAACCGTGTTCTTCAGACACATCAGGTTGCACTAAGAATTGCATCCAATAGATTTAACATCAGGTGCCGGTCCACCAGAAGAGCTAATATTTTATCTCTTAAGCTCACTTCTCTGATGCCAAAGTTATATGATTGACTTAAGTGTTGTTGAATGGCTTCCTAGCATGAAAGGACACAAATGTATCTTATTGTCTTTTAACCACTCTATTATCCCCAGCATGCTGTTCAAAATGTTCTTTCCACCTTTCAAATTTATCCACTGTGAGTCTTCTGCAATGAAAAAAGAAACCTTGCATACCTTCCCAAGCAGACATTCCTCTGCCTTGCACCATGGGTAATAAGCCAAATGATAAAAACTCTAGTAACCCAGCACCTTCAGTGACCCTGACATTGTCTGAATAATCATGCTGAACTTACACACGAAAGATCTGGCACTGGTGATGCTTTGGAATCAGGCCAGGTGACTTTGAGTTGTTTTCTTGTAGGGATGCTTAGTTAGACAGTTCAGAAGGTTTACACTGATTTTCTTCAGGATTGATGTCAAGTTGATAGTCTGAAGATATTAGGTCAATTAAGGGCTTTGGTGCTGCTTGAGTCAGCAGCAGGTTTTGTTTCAGTTCGTCCAACCATCTAACTATGTCGTCTTTCCCTTTATTTGGTAGAGGTTCAAAGGAAAGAAGAGAAGCCCATAACAATTGTGAAATAAAACATTACATTTTTGGAATTACTTGTCAGAAATAAATAAAGGAATCCTCTGTAGAAAGTACAAAATCCAGGGTATAATATTCATCTTCAGGGTATTTACTCTAAAAACTCAAGGTTATAACCATTCATAAGCGATAAGGCTTTCAACAGCTACTATCTTTCTCGTAGGTTTCCCATGGGCAGCTGGTTGGCTATTGTGTGAGCAGGATGCTGAACTAGATGGCACTTTGGCCTGATCCAGCAGGGCCTTTCATATGATTTTATGAAAAATTCCTGACAATCTGCAAACCTGAATTGGAACAGTTTTTAATTTATATATATTTATAATTTTTATTTGATTTTTATAAACTTTCAACAAAATCAAACCTCAGCACAAAACCACTAAGAATACAAAACAAGAGCAAAAACACATATACAAAAAAGAAGAGGAAAAACCCATGCAACCACACAGTAATGATCAGAGATGCATTAAACTGATCTTGAAAATAATATATATCTATATTCCATATGCATGCACATGTATTCAAATACATTCTATTCAATATCACTAATATAGGTTAGGTAAGCTGACCAAATGTCAGAATGAGTGTTGAGACAAACTTATCATTGGTAGCATATTCTCTCATAGGATGCAAATGTTATGAGAGCTTCAGGTTATTCTTGGTTGAGAAAGATGATTTGTCTCTCCAAGATGTAGCAGGTCTTTCCAACCCTGCAGTATGAGTCTCTTAGTATGAGTATCAACTTTTGTTCATGCCCGTGTGAATGTTCCCCAAGCACCATTTTGCCCCAAATTATAACAAGTGTACAATTTTCTCCTCCTTTTTCTGAGCTTCAAGTCTATCTGAGAAATATCCAATTTAACAATCATACTGAGGTATTCTTTGAAGAAAATGGGAAACTGGCAACAGGATTTGATATTATAAACTGGATCATTTCCTGAAATGAAAACTTCAACAAAATTAAAGCTGGGATAGCGTGGATCCTTCAGCTTCTGTAACATTATTAAACGCATCCTTCCATGTCAGATCCCTGACAGCTGACTGTCAAAACTCATGATCCCTTTCAAATGGGAGATTTAGAGTGGAAATTGGATTTATCTGATATCTTTGAGCATGTCCCATCCAAATCCCTGAGGTTTCCCGCACCCAAAAATAAAAGAGGACTGCAGGGGTCCATCTTCTTGCTATCTGGTGATCTGAGGCAGCTTCATGCTTTAGGCCACTACTAATATTCATCATGCTCTGCTTTTATACTTGTCAACAAGTGTGTAATTACAAACAGTCAAAAGCCCATCCAAAATCTTCATGGCTCTTTCGCATCACAAGTTCCAGGGTCCACTTATGATGGTAAAAGAGCCAATCTGAGCAACTAGTCATACAGTTGGCATCAGATTTACACTGGGACAGCTGAGCCAATGGAAATGGACTTCCTTACTCCTTACCCCTCCAAGAAGCCACTCCAGCCTCTAGTCTCCCAAAGATACTAAACAGAGGCTGAGTTCACACAACATGACAAACCAGAAAATGTATTGAGCGCAGGTTGTTTTTGAATCATGGATTGTTGTGTTCTGTGACCCCAAATAAACTAACCAACTGTAGTTGGTTAAGCACAAACAAGCCTTTGTGAATCCATTATTTATTGTGGGGTTTTGAATTGTGGGTTGTTTGTGTTTAACAAGCCATGATCTGTTACTGAGGCTGGGTTCAGATAGCACAGCAACCCATGCTTCACCAACCACCCCTGGTTCCACGAAAATCTACACTCACTGCTTACTCTAGCTTGTCATGCTGTGTGAGCCTGACCCTGATGAATAGGGTGAACTATAATGCATGTGGGAGAACTCCAAATAGTAGGGAAAGGAACCTTCCACCAAAAAACCTCTCTGTTTTGTGGCATGCAATTCCTGAAACCAACCCCATCTGGCCACCCTCTTCACTTCACTGGATACTATGTCATTTAAGGGAATTTGTGGAAATGAAAATCACCACCTTTACCACCACCCACCCACAAATAAATGGATGACAAAGACACAATGTTTGAGATTCTGACTGATTAAAATGGCAGCAGCCAGAAGAAGCCACTGAAATCAGCTCTGTCGATGGAGAAAACGAATAACCCCACCACACACCCACGCACAAATGAGTTAAAAGTGGGATACCAAAGACTGCAGCCATTCATACCCATAGCATGATTTCAGCATGAATGGAATGAAATCAAATGGGCCCTCTTCCAAAATGAATGCACACCTTCTACTAAATTACAGTTTTTAAAAATCAGATCTCTGTAACAGGGACAAAAACCCATATCCTACTCCTCTCTTCCAAATTTTCCTAAATCTGTCCATATATTCAAATCAAAAGGAAATAACTCTTGGCTGTTAATTGGACTGTGGTCCCTGATGAATTTCAGTGCATTGTCTCTCTACAGTTAAGACAATAGATCTGGCAAATGATCAAATGAGAGAATGTAACTGCCTAAAGCTCATGTGAATCACCATCTGTTTATTATTCAACCATGGAAACTATTTCAAAATTGTTCTGTTCTTGCTCATGTTATGCAGGAGATGCAGACCTGTTTTACCAAGACGCAGATACTGCTAAGTTTTAATTTCACCAACCAATAGGATAATTTTATATTCATCTTAAAATGCCCACATGGCACTTGTTGCATGCAGTCTAACATTTCTAGTTGATTTGCATGCCTTATATTTTGTACCAATCTGCGATGCTTCTTGCTTTGATGAGACAAATCCAGAAGAAAAAGACCTGGGTGCTATGGTGAGTGACTCTCTTTTCTAATGCCAAGAAGTCCCACTTCACCACTGAACCACCCATGACTGCCTTCCTGTACCAACAGAGTCAAGGTGTTTCACAATACAGGCCAATGGTCCATAGAACTCAGGTCTCTTGTTTCCAGTTTGTTGTCACCAGGTGCGTTAAAAAGCTCAAAGACAAGTCTGTTTGCCACATCTGATAGTCAAAAATACAGGAGCCCCCTTCTGGAGGGTGCCAGGTTGGTAACGTCTGCTACCAACTATCCAACATGCATACTAGGCTGACCTACCCTGTCCTTCTGGGCCCAATCAAGGAATGTCATCTCTTAAGGGAAAATATACCCTGCTTATACTGGGCTGGGAATTCTCAAACAGAAACTCTTTTGTATGTCTCAACCCCAAAGCTACCAGTTTATATTTATATTCTGCCCTACAACTCTGCAGCAGAGATGAGAGAATTTTTTCTTTGTGGTGGTTTGGATACAAGATATGAAGACCTGAAATATGCATAGAATTTAATCCTTTGATATGATTAAGAATATTTGCCATGGGCTGAAGAAAATACAAAAGGAATGCTTCATCATTGTGGAACTCACTGGTAATTACATAGTATATTTTTAACTACAATAAATTATCTTTTTTCCAGGTCTGGGAGAGCAGAGGACTTTCTTCCTGACATTCTATCCAGCTGTTGCCTGATCTAGCTAGCTTCCCATCTCTCCCATGTTTCATTTCTTGCACACATACATGCTGTCTGTTGCATGCTGTATCTTCATTTTGTTGTCTCCACTTAGCTAGGTAACCAATCTGAGTTATTTTTAATATTTTCAGGGGTATATAAATGTATCACATGATCATCATTAACACCAAGAATATATGCACAAAGTCACAGAACTAAACTTTATACTGCCATTGCAGGCAAAACACATCACAAACAGCAGGTTTTTAGGATTTAGAGAGACCATGTAGTTCAACCACCCTTGCCCCCATCTCAGTGTAGTTCTGTCATGCAAGATGCAAGTACAGTATCAGTGACGGACCACCACCAGGCCTCTGCTGAAATATCTTTGGCAAATTAGAATCATCTAAGCTGCCTTGAGTTCCTTGAAAGGAAAAAAGGTGGGATATAAATGTAATAAAGAAACAAAGGAGAGCCCACCACTTCCTAAGGCAGTCTATGGTCTAATGTAAACTACTTCCCTGATATTGCCATCTATTTCGTTCTAGTCTTGCCCTCTGGAGTGCAGAGAGCAGCTGTGCTCCGTACTCTACAAGACAGCTATCATGTCACCCAGCTGTTCTCTTTTCCAAAGGTCAAGCATACCAGCCTCTTTCGACTGCTTCTAAGAGGACATGTCCTCCAGACCCCTCATCAACCTGCTCTATGGGCTTGTAGCCAGGTAGGCTGATTCCCTAAAATTTTCTGCTCCATATTAAAAATAGCTTGCTTAAGAAAACCAGCAAGAAAGTGTTGGTTTCTCTTTGTAAAGGTACGCATGCTATTATTTTATTATTGTAGTGTCTCTGGGCTGGGTACATGTAATTGAGTCTATAGCTAAGTTGAAGGAATATTTAATTCATGTGAACATTTGTATATCTTTTTGAGGAAGGAGCATATTGCTCAGATTTAGAAAGGCAGTTCTTTAAAATGTCTGGTGGTTCAGTAGTGGACTAAACTCTTGGATTCAGTTATGGCTATAATTCAGACAAAGAATTATTTTATTCCACACTCGGATTAATTAGTGCATATTCCCCAGTGCAGGAAAACCAGCAGGAAGAAGAATGCAAGAGGTGCATGTGGGTGGGCGGGGGGGGGGTGCTTATCAAAATTTTGCAGATGACACAAATTGAGTAGGATAGCTAATAACTTAGAAATAAAATTCTAAATGATCTTGACTGGTCAGAAGCCCAAGCAAAAAATAATAGAATGAAATTGAACAGAGACTAGATTCATAGAATAGTAGGGGTCAAGGAGGCCATTGGGTCCAGCCCTCTGCTATTGCAGGACACTAAGTTACACGATCCCACTCAGATGACTGTCCAGTTTCACCTGGAGTGTCTCTAGGGTGGGAGAGCCCATGACCTCTCTTGGAAACTGGTCCCACTGTTGTATTGCTCTGACAGTTAGGAAGTTTAATATAGTGAAATTAAATAAATATAAGATTTACTGTTATGTTGTACCTAAATTAAGTTTGTTATCATATTTTATTCTACTGATTTATGTGGTTATGTTGTACATTTTGTTACTATATTTACTGCAGTTATGTTGTATTTTAAGTGCTTGTTTTGGTGCATTTTATGTGCAGCACTTGAGAATAAAGTAGATAAAATGTGGCTGTTGTTTGTTCAATTCTTGTGACCCACTGTGTGCATGCCAGGGGTTTTGTGGGTAATCATCTTATCATCTTCCATGATCTGCACATCACAAATGAGATAAATGCCAACATGCAAGGTAGGCTGAAATAAGCACAATAGTCAGTGGTATGTATTACCCCTCCATTTCCGTCACCCTGCTCTAAATCTCTTCTGCATTTCAGGTGTATGACATGGAGCAGATGGGAAATCAAACCGCAATCTCCGAATTTGTCTTCCTGGGCTTCTCCACCTTCCCAGAACCTCAGGTCTTGTTCTTTCTCCTGTTTCTCACCATGTACATCACCACATTGCTTGGCAATGGGCTCATTCTGGCTACTGCGTGGCTGGATCGTGGCCTCTGTACACCCATGTACTATTTCATCCGGCACCTGTCATTCCTGGATGTCTGCTACACATCAGTCACGCTGCCCCACATCCTCAAGCATCTGATGGCGGAGATCAAGACCATTTCCACCCAGGCCTGCTTGGCGCAGCTTTTCTTCCTGGTGGCGTTTGTGGGGGTTGAATGCCTCCTCTTGGCCGTGATGGCGTACGACCGCTACATCGCCATCTGCTGCCCTCTGACTTACACCCTTGCCATGAGTAGGAAAGTCTGTGCCCATCTAGTGAAAGCCTCCTGGGGCTGCGGCTTCCTCAATTCAGTCTTGCACACCGTCATGACCTCCCGCTTGTCCTTCTGTGCTTCTCGCAGCCTCAACCACGTCTTCTGTGATGTCCCACAGCTCCTCAAGCTGTCCTGTGCAGACACATCCATCAACCAGATCACCCTGCTGCTGGTCACCCTGCTGCTGGGTGTCAGTCCGTTCCTTTCCATCCTGGTTTCCTACGCTCAGATTGTGCAGGCTGTCTTGAGGATCCGCACCACTCAGGGCCGCCGCAAGGCATTCTCCACCTGCACATCTCACCTCGCTGTGGTCACCTTGTTCTACAGCACCTGCATGTTCAATTATAGCAGGCCCAGTGGCAGCCATTCTGTCTACATCAACACTTTGGCATCTGTGCTTTACAATGTGGTGACTCCAATGCTAAACCCCATGATATACTGCCTGAGGAACAAAGAAATGCAGGAAGCTCTGAAACGTGTGCTCAGACTCCAAAAGCCACCCTCCCTTTAGCTCAGCCTCCCGCAACCTGGTGTCCACCAGGCGTTTTGGTCCACACCTCCTGGCCTTGCTGAATGGGGCCAAAGGACTTTGACAGTGAAAACATCTCAAGGTATTAGGTTGGGAAGGATGGACTACCCCTTGTCCCAGTTATGAGCCATGTTCCAAAGTTGCTGCTGCTGCGGAACAGCCTGATAAAATTGTTGCTTTTCCATTGTAAACTACAAGAAGAATTGCAATTGTACCGTCCACACGTCTAGTGCTTTTCCAATGGGTAGGTTGGCACGCCATGCTTAGCCACCCAGCAATAAGCCACCAAGGCCTGGCTTTTCACAGAGCAAGCCACCAAACTCCCAACAGACCACCTGGCTTGCTGTGGTTTGTTTGCACAGCCACCCCTTATTGCCTCTGACCCCTTCCACTGGCTTCGGCACGCATCTCAGGCGTCTTTGCGGCAGAGCGCCTCTTTGCATCAGTCCCCACAGCTGCCTTCAGCTCCCTCCTGCCCTTCCCGCCTGCCACTTCACACCATGCCTGGCAGTCGCCACATAGTCATGTGGGTCACAGAGGGCGAGCAGGATCAACTAGCGTATACATCTGACTTGTCAAAGGAATAATGGGGAAGGGAAACTTGCACAAATTTCAGCTCTGAGGTGATTGTACCTGTGCTTATACAAGAGCGAAAATAGGAGTGGTGGGGGGAGGGGAGTTACAAAAGTGCTCAGGATGCTCTCTGGCATTTTTTCTTTGCCCTTGTTGGGAAGACGGGGCAGGGGCACAGAAGAAGGATGAGGAAGGTGGTGGCAACACTAGCAGAGCCGTGAGGCGCAGCAGGGGAATTTGCTGCTTCCGCCATCGGATTCTGTTTTCATTCCCAACAACCCGCCACGAAGTAGCTGTGCTGGGTTCGGATGATATCTGCACGCGTGCTGGCAATCCTAAAACAAGTCATGGGTTTTCAGGGTGACTTGCTCATGAGAAAATAAACCACCCTGAAGAAACCATGCCAAGGTTGTGCAACATGACCACCCGTCATGACTGGCCACCGATGCGGAACTATTGTGTTGCAAACACCAGGTCATTGTGAGCATTTCACGATGTTCCATCCACACTGTGGACAGGCCACAGCCAAGGGGCACTGTTGTCCCCTTGTCACACACTCCCTCCCTCAGACTTTGTGAAGCAGATGGATGGCTATGACAGACTCCAAGTCCCATCAATTTCAGTGCCAGTTTAGAGGACTTGCACCACACCCCCATTCCACAGTGTCGGGTGGCACTCCCCAGAAGCAAAGATCTGAAGACAGGAAAGGCATCCAGCCCACTGCTGCCTCATCAAAGAGCCCTGCTGGAGGCTGCTCACTTGCTCAGAGCCCAAGCAGGACGCAACATCCACCCTTTGCTGCCAGTAGAAATGCAAAAATGCTCTGTGGATGTGGGTGAATTGCACAATTCCATCATAAACAGTCCACTTTTAAAATCCCCTTAAAAAATGAATAAGTGCCTTCAGCACAGAGCTAGAAGATTGCACATAAAGTTAGTTTAAAGTAAAACCACAATGAAAATTTAAAAAGTTAAAACTGGGCTATGTCCCAGTGGATTCCTTTAAAGATGCCCAATCTGTGATCTATTTAATTTCCTAGCCTGATTTTATTATCCAGACAGTCAACTCAATCTCATCATCCCAGCTAACCAACTCGCAAGGCAGACTGAAAGTGTGCCAGTTTGATGGCTCTTAATCCATGCTGCAATTCCTGTTTTAGGAGAAAGTCACAGCTCTCCACCCCCAGAATCAGAGTACCAAAGACACCCATTTTTATCCCCCCCCCCCACTTTTATTTTGTTGGAACTGAATTGTGCAATTACTCAATCAGTTTTTTAAAAAGGAAAGAAAGAAAATGGCACAGTAGATTGCCCTAGTTAAGCAGGTGATTGCTTGCACACACTGCAGCCAGGTTAGGGTTGCATTCATTCCAGAAGAGAAGGGAGGTTCAGGTTGTTGAAATGCAAGGAGAGGCAGAAGCAAGAGCTTCCTCAAAATTAGGATATGCTTTTATTTATATTTTCTGCAGAAAATATTTTAAGGGCAAAAACACAGGAGACGAGGTCAAAGTTCTTTAAAGGAAGGCTTGAAGGGCTCTGAAACCAGAAATGCAAGCTGAATGATAGAGAGGCATCTAGGAAGGGCATCCAAGTTCCCCAGGGAGAGTAACACCCTCTGTATCTCAGTCATGTATGTTAATATCTGAGAAAGGAAGTGATTTGGAACAAGGAAACAGGAAGAATGGAAATGTAACAAAGAAAATTCCTTAGCCATAGGGGCTGGGAAGGGGCTGGGATCAAATAGAAGGAGGAACTGGCACATAGACAAAATAGAAGTATTCTTGCTCATTGACCTCATGAATATTAACTAACACACCCTGCATAGAAAATAAGCTCATTATAATGCACATGGGAGGTATGAAGTGGGAGGGGAAAAGAGGTATTGGGTCACCTTGAAATAGGCGGATGGAAAGATTGTAACCACCCGGTACCTCGGCCAATGAGGGAAAGGAGGAGGGAAGAGCAAATGGGAAAAGGGCATAAATATGAGATGTAAACATGTGCTCTGGGAGTTGGAAAGGGGAAGGAAAGCCTCCAACTCCCTCTATTGCAATAAAGTTTGACATAAAAGAACTCTCTGTTGTCTGGAATATTTTCTCTTCCGAAGAAAAGGAAAGAGTGTTACTAACAGTATACACACCAGCAAAAAGAATGGACATTTATTCTGGTCTATCCAACTTAACAGGTTTTCTACATGAAAAGAAGACTGGAAAGTGACGAGGTAAAAAGGACTGCTGGAATATGAGGATCAAACACACCTGGTTTTGGCTCTGCCCATCATTGACTTTGGTGCCACCTACCATTGACTTGAGTCCACTACAAGAAAATGTGGCCTTCAAGAGGAAAAAAAGTTGTGCAGCCTTGCTCTGGAGTCATCTTTTATGGAATGCATTACCTGCCGGAGCACTGCTGTAAATGTCCTTGTTAAATAACCCAGATATCACTAAAAGAAGTACAGAAAACCCCCAAACCTTCATAAGCTTGCAGCACCTCATTCTGTGGTAACCAAAGCCTTGGGTGATGCTGACACCTCTGAAGTTCTCACTGCTTGGACAATTGGGGTATGAGGGCACTCAGGCAAGGCCCAGCACACACAGAGACAGCAAAAAATGCCTATTAACCTCCTACTAATGTTATAACATGCACCCTATTTAAGTGCACAGTCCTAAGAGATTGCACTGTCCTACACCCTGTGGGAAGGAGCCAGGAAGGCCAGTGGAGCTCAAACACCTCCTGTTCCTCCTTTTCTTTGCATTGCAGTAGAGCAGCCTCTTAGCCCTTCCAGGAGATTCCACCCTTGGTTGAAGTGGAGGCTGCTGTCTCCAATGTCTGAGGGATGGTGCATCTACTCTGGGTGGTTATTTTTGATCTTACTACTGCTACTATTACTACCTCTGCCCCCACCACTACTATTTATTTTGCTTCTGTACCACCCAATAACTAAACATCTCTGAACTATTCCCAACAATTCATAAAAAACACAAATTGGATGCAATCCATAGCTGGATCTCCTGTGCATTCATAGCTTGGTCTGTGGCCATGGGAGAGGAGGTCCGTGCCATTTCATGTTTCCCTGGATACAAGAGGACAGGATCCGCCTATCTGGAGGACCCACAAGGATTGCAGATATACAAAATCAATAGACGAAGGGAATCCTAAGTTGGTGGTGGCAAAACTCAAACATAGTTCAGTGAGGACTAAGGGTGCCATGCGAAAAAGATGGTCCCTTTACTAACTGGTGCTTCTTGAGTTAGTTCGAACCATTCCCATCACAAATGACCTAGATATATTTGGCAGAGGCAGTGTTAGGAAGTGGTCCAGTAGATCCGAAGCCCAAATCGCTCATTTGGAGACTCAAACCTCTAGGAGGCCTTCTTCCCTACCACCCTGCAGGCCATGGTACTTTCTGAAGTGAAGGCACAGGGGGCCTGATGACCTGTATCTGCATCTCATCCCCTTAGCTGACTTTGGGCCCACACATGTCTATGCTCTGGCTGCCCTTTCCCTTGCATCTTTCTACATGAGGCAGTTTTCTCAAACCTCTCCAGGGTCATACATCCCTTTTTACAAATAGGGGCATCGTTAGAAGACAGAGTCCTTGCAAGATACATGGGGCATCTCTGCATGAAGGTTTTCCCCCACTTCTTCCTCCATTTTTGTTGCAGAATAGTAAAATGCATCCTCTACAAGCAGGTTTTTCCAAGCGGGTTGCATTTCTCTGCGTCGCTACATATTCTCTTAACCATCCAGAAGGTGGTGATGTGCTCTGACTGCAGAATAGCAGGTTTTTGTCTTTTCAACAGGCTTCGGTTTGCCATGATTCAAAATTTAATATCAGATCCATCTCACTTTAAAAAAAAACATTGAAAAAGGCTGGAGAACTCAGGACAAGTTCTCAGAGAACAACAGCATCATGAAAAGGCCACACTGACTTCCATTAGTGCTGGTTGATGAGTTTGTAATAAATGCCTCCTATAGAGAAGCCCACACAGAGAAAGATAAATGCACATCTGGGCATTCTTTTTGTCCTTTGGGCCTCAGTCCCAACTCTTTTTGGTCCTTAGCACTACCCCTGGTATTTGAATTTTAAGATAACTTTTTTTTTAACACTGGGTAGGGTAGGTGATTTTCCATGGGGAAAATATTTTGCTCTGGAGAGCAGCCATGACAGAAATAATAAGCAAGAGATGTGCACAGGGGAAAGGAAAGGAATTATATTTTCCCATCCTGGGCGAAGACACTGTTTCTCTCCTGAAAACAATAAGAACTCATTTCTGATGCCGGTATGTAATGAATGTGGTTCTGTACAGTAGAATGGGAAACCTGGAGAAAAGAATAGCCTATAGTGATCTCCTTGCACTTGCTAATTGTTGGTTGGTCAGACTGTCTGTCTTTTTTCCTTCCTTCCTTCCTTCCACTTTACCTTTTTCTACCAATCTTCACTTTGAACCTGGCGGTGTGTCTGCGTCTTAAAGTTTCCTTGTTAAAACAATAATAACTTAGGAGACTGGAGCAGATGCACAAGAATATGACAGCCAGTGCTGGGGAGCAGAAGGGGCAGCTGGCCAGCTCAGCAGTTCCTCTTGACAACCCCAGCCTGGTTTTCCTCCACTCCTCTGCCTCAGCATCTTCCCCAAGTGAAATCCTTGATCCTTTCAGCTGATTGTCTAGTCTCTTCGCTTTCAGGAGAGTCTTGTAAATAATACAAATGGAGTTAACCTCAGGTTGTGACATTTATTCTTCCTCTAACTGGGCTCAATACCTTCACTACTCTTCATGAAATAGGGATAACAATAGATGCTATTACTGATATAACCCTGCTAACAGATCTCAGAGTAGGTCTTCTTCACTTTGTGGATATTTTACTTTTTAACAACTTAAGGTTGCATAACAGCTTTTATTCCTCCCACTTACATTCCACCCCTTCTCCAAGGAGCTCCAGGGTTTCCTGATGCCACCATCCCACGTTCATTTCGCACGACCTGTGAGGTAGGTTAGGCTGAGAGATCCAGATTGGGCCTCACCGAAATAATTTTGTGAGGTTCAAGGCTCAATTTTATTGAGCTCCCTGCCACACACACAAACACATTTCCTGACCTCAAGCCTTTCTTGCATAGCTGAGCACACTGAGAGCCCCACAAGCTGAGGGTGTGTGGGCTCAGATGATTCATTTCCCAGCCTACCTTCTTTTCACATCAACCTTCCCTCACCCACCCTGGCTGCATTTCCACTTTTCTTTTCTAGATTAGACTGTCTGGGGTACAGATGGAATCTACCCACACAAACTCATCAGTGGTGGAGTTTGAGCTGGCTGGATTCCCTGACCTGGAGAACTATGACACACTGCTCTTTGTCATCCTGCTGGTGATCTACCTCCTCATCCTCAGTGCCAACACCATCATCTTCACCATCATCTGTGCCACCTGCCACCTTCACATCCCTATGTATTTTTTTATTGCCACACTGGCTGCCTTGGAGGTATTCTACACGACTGTCACCATGCCCAGAACACTGGTGGACCTTCTGAGAAGGAAGAAGTCCATCTCCTTCAGTAGCTGCCTTCTGCAAATCTATTTCTTCCATAGCCTGGGGATCTCAGAGGCCTGTTTGCTCACAGTGATGGCCTACGACCGCTACTTGGCCATCTGCACCCCATTGACCTATACAACCACCATGACAACCAAATTTTGCTTTCAGCTGGTGCTGGGATGCTGCACCTGTGGCTTCTTATGTCCGTTGCCAGAAATCCTCCTGACTTCCTGGTTGCCCTTCTGTCAGCATAGCTACATTGATCACATATTCTGTGATTTCCCTCCACTGATCAGCTTGGCTTGCACAGATATATCAATCAACACTGTGGTAGACTTCTCCTTCCATTCAGTGGTCATCCTGATCCCCATCTCTCTCATCCTTTTTTCATACCTAAAGATACTGAAAGTCACCCTCATGATCAAGAGTTCACAAGGACGCCAGAAGGCTTTTTCTACCTGTGCATCCCACCTCACTGTGGTCCTTACTTTTTTTGGAACCACCAGTTTCATGTACATGCGGCTGTCATGGATGGGGTCGGTCCATTATGATAGGATCATAGCGGTAATCTATGCCTTCCTCATCCCTCTCTTCAACCCTATTATCTACAGTTTAAGAAACAAAGACATTAGGGATGTGATTAGAAGGATCATTAGTTCTTCTGCCCCAAACATGTGGCAGAAATAGGTGCCTTCCTTTCTGAACATCTTGAAGCACCAAAGTCCAATCTCCATGAGGCTTCTCCTGTCGGTATGAAATGTCTGATGCACCTGTGTGGCACAGGGGCGCGCCGTAAACCAGTCTGCTCATGCTTTTTCTGCTATATGAGCTTTTCTACACAAGGCGGTTAATCAGCTGTGAGACACTGTATCCACTTTCCATTTTATAGCAGAACTGAGATCCAAGCATTACACAAGATTGTTTCCTTTCCTGCTACATAATCTCTGTGGTATAGCAGAATAGTGCTGACACAAGAAAGGAAATTGCACCCTGTCAATTAAATGCAATTGAATGTTGCATTTGTCCTGCTCTAGAAAAAGTCACTGGGAGTGCTAGCTAGACACAGGAGTAAAACTGGAGGATTCTCATACAATCTAAAGAACCTATAAACAATTGTGATCAGGCTATGATTAGTACCTGATAAATTCTGTGCAGAAAGGCCAAGAATCCTGGACTTTTTCAGACTACTTTTATCACAGCTTTGTCCCCTTTCTTCGCACCTTCATCTTTCATCTCTGAGAGGGTGAGTCACTCTCTGGGTGGGGGCAAGGTTTTGTTGACAAGGGATCATGAGCTGGCATTCTGGAAAGAGCATTTGCCAGTGTACACCTACATACAGCATTCTGAATAATACATTTTTACTATTAAAGTGGCCCAACCCTAATATAGAACTTTCTAGCTGTTCACTTTAAAAAAAAAGGGGGGGGTGTTTGTTTGGGGTTTTTTTAGTCTGAGAAAGCATGTTTCTGGGCCTGAAAGCAAAACAACAATCACTTAGCGGGGAGGAAAAAGCAACGATTGATTTTTCTGAATAGTTTTCCCACTGCCCTCCCAAAAAAGCTCCCACCCTCCTCTTCCTCCCCCCTTCCCCCACTTTTCAGGATGAACAATTTCTTGTGTATTCATCATTCACTACTTAGGGTTGCTTGACAGTTCTTTACATTACTCAGCTTAAACTGTCATCCAGTGAACTAGGAGTTATTAATGAATCAGGGCAATCAGTTGAAGAGAGACGAGAGACAGGAAATTATTGGGGGTAAACTAATTGCAGGGAAATCAGGGATAGGTGCATTGCCAAAAGGATGTAATTGGGGTTATTTAGACAGGAAGTTAATTGGTGTGCCTTTCATCAAATGTAAATACATTCTAACAATTGTTTTGGAATGTGCATCTATAAATATGAATTAGCCTATTAGCTTTTCTCAGCCATGACCATTTGGCAAAGTGTTGACATCCCTAATTATTTTGGGGACAGGCATGAGCTCCATATGCTGATTCCTTCTTGCATCCAGAGTTAGAGTAGACAATTGAAGTCAATGGGCTAAAGGATAGTCCCGGCAATATTCAGCTCAGCTAAGTATATGTCTCTTGCATTAGGCTCTGGTTGGGGGATCCTAGGGGTTTTAACCCTAAAATCAAAGTAGACCATGCAAACCTGAAGTTACCAATGTGTTGTACATCAGAGAAACATCTCACAGAAGAATGAGGTATATAATTTCTTTTCTGGGCAGGAAAATACATATTCCTCCTTGATGCATAGACAGGATTCTCAAGAACAAACTCACAGTTCCAAGCTGGCAGATGTGAAATAAATTTCAGACAATCCCTCCCTGAAGAAATCAAGGAGTTCAAACCTACATCTGTCCCTGGGCTTGTTGCACCACTGGGCCCATTGAGATGACAGTCACTTGATATGCCTAGGAGCCCCTCTCACAGCTTTAGTTTCTTCTCCAAGATGGAGCTATAGATGTGCTGAGTCATTGGCACGTAACATTTTTCTGATATATCTAGGAAGTAGAGCGGATTACTGATGATGGCAGGGTTGAATCCTTCCTTCACCAGCTGACTTTTGCACTGTTTGAATGTTCCTGTGATCTCGAGGACCTCCTGTATGGAAACCAAAAAGAAGGCCAAGTGTTTGATCCCTTCATCTGCACCTTATGGATCAGACATCACTTTAGGCCTCATAGATGTCCTTCAAAAATGAATACTTCTAAAGCATAGGTGGACAACCAGAAGGCCACACCTTACATGGAACTCTTGCCACCCCTTTCCCACTCAGCAGTGCATGGAGGCCTGCCCACTTCGCCCCACTTTTCAGCTGCCCACTTTTCAGCCAATCCCATAATGCTGTAGGCAGCAAGGAAACAATGAACTTGATCAGGGTTGCTCAGCGATGGAGAAAAAGACTGACACCAGCCCCACCAGCCACTTCTGCGGGCAAGGAGCATGCCTCCTGGCCCCATGCACTGGCATCCTTTCCCACCTCTGCATCCTCAGAATGGTTCTGCAAGCACCAGTGAGGACTTCCGCTTAAAACAGTTTGCCTGCCCCAGCCTAAAACCATTTGGCAGCAAGGAAGGAGTGGTTGTTCGGAATCAGTATGAGCTTAAGTCACAGAGGTGAGCATCCACAAAGGGCAGGTGACTCCTCCCGGAACATGTCTCAAAAACAAATCTATTACTTCAAGTTGGTAGAAGTAATTCCATGCCTGTTGGAAACAATAGTCACTAAATCATCCGCTCATATATCAACTAGTCCTGGCTTTGTAATCCTATCTGATAGATTCAAGTCTTCTCCTGTTTCTTTTGTTGCACAGGTTCTATTTCTGTTGGCACCTTCCTCTTCTGTTTAGTGTCTCTTGTGCATTGTTCAAGTTTTTATTTATTTATTTAAAACATTTTTATGCCACCCCCATCGCAACGAAGCCTCGGGGCGGCTCACAACACTGAGGCAGGAGGGCAGTAACTAAGGCGAATGGGCCAAAACTCAGATATGTTGGGTTCTGGTTTTGCATTTTTGCCCCATTCCTTTGGCCTTTCAACCCACCACTGGAAAAGTGGGTCCCATCAGCCTCTCACAGATGGAATCCGACTCTTGGGCTAAAAACAGAGGTGTGCCTTACCTGGATACGAATGAAGCATGGTATGGCATAATTTGGCAAATAATCTTTGGCAAATATATATAGCTTCTTTCCATCAAAGGAGAGGCCTTCCTTCAGTTGAATGGCTGCCATCCCAATCCTGCCTTCATGTCCTGGAACAAACCAGATCAGATCCATCAAGAGTAGAGCTACTTGTTACATGTAACAAAAACAACCAAGCTGCCCCACCATTGGCTGTCATTTCTAAGCAAAGCAACTTTGGGAGAGGGGAATTTGAAGTGGAGCAACAATGGAGGAGAAGCCAATCCTTAATCTCACTTTCTGTTGCTTTTCTTAATTCAATCTTTTTCTCAAGCCCCACTCCCTTTCTCTTCTTCAGTGACAGGATATATCATTATCTGTGCACACCCCCTTCACACATTAGCCAAACACATGGATGGAAGGGGTATGGCCAGCAGATGCAGCAAGTGGCACAATCAGCCCATATGGCTTCCTCATCTCTTCTTTCACACTGTGTATACATGTGTTGTCAGAATCTTTGCTCCCTCCTATAGGCATCATGTTTCTGCTTCACTCATCTGCCTCTTTGTAGTTCTGCCCTAATATAAAAGGCAACAGGGCAACATGAAGAGAATGGTAAAACCTTCACCGCATTGCAAGGAAGGGAACTATGGGTTCAGCTAGGCCGGGCCCATCTGGGACTCTCCATTCCTCAAGCAATTCACAGGATCCGGATGGCCAGTAAGTTACCCAGGCAAGGCATACACAAGAGAAACCTGGAAGCTTTAGCTGCACATGCTCTGAAGGAGCAGAATGTACTGGAGGAGATGGGAAAGGAACGGGTCTTCCATGAGAGGAAGGACTTCTCTTGCAGAAGGTCTCTTTCCCAAAAATGGGGCAGAGGCAATTCTGCCTTTCCCAACTGCCACAGCTCACCCCATTAAGCAGAGTGGGCAGTTGCCAGCTTCCCAAAAGATCCAGGGTTCAGCCTCATAGAACAAATAGATGCAGAAATATGTGTGTGTTGCTTTACATGTGCAAACATATGCACATTATTAGAAATAATTACAACAAAATTTTATACATGGCAAGCTCATTCGCCTCTTGCTTGCTTTTGGGAAGAACCATGCAATGTCCTAATTTCTCCTGGCTTAGCATTTCTCATTGTTGCACCCACAGTTTTCCTTGGTCTGTCAAGCCCAAATCTGCATGGAGGATGGAGAACCTGGAACCAGCAAAGAGTGGAATGACACCTTCAATACTTAGTGAAGACTTGCGAACTGAACCTGGCACGCTGGCACGGAGAGGTTGGCCATGCACTGTAAAGCAGAATAGCCCAAGTGCTCAGGCTGCACACTTACACAGTTACTAGGGAGTAATCCATATGAAACACAGTGGGATTGCTAGTTCTCCTGATCCCTGCATAGCACTTCCAGGAATTTTGAGAGGGGCAGCCATGGGAAGGAGGCACTGGGGAAGTCCAGCGCCACCAGCACACTTGATTGAGCTTCAGTTTGGGCTGCATAATATTGCAAAAATACACAGTTGTTGTTTGGTAAAAATAGCTCTGTAGACCCACCTGGCACCAGGACTCCATAAACATTGACTTCTTGAATGAAGTCCACTGCTGCCAAGGTTGCCTCCACCTCTGTGGTAGCCACATTCTCTCCCTTCCAGCTGCAACGAGAAGAGGGCTGTTCCTGATTATCCCTCCACTTGCATCCATTCCTCCTTTGCTTAATAACATGGGCCCAGGTCTCCACTTCTTGCATCCAGAGCACTTCACAGAGAGATCTCCTTATGACCCCAGCAACAACCACCCCAGCAACGTGACACAACAAAGAGCCTTGTGACATCTTCACCAGTCCCACCACCATCACCCTGGTGCCCTTGAGCTGCCACCAGACCACCTCCCATATTGCGTGGGGGAGGCTGGAAGGTGCAGTCCAGTGCCTCTCGACTCGATGACTAAGCGCTATTCCCCATTTCCAAGAACAGGGTTGGGGAAGCCTCTCGCTGCGGGCCAAATTAAGACTGCCTGACATCTCCATCTAACTGGGAAGGCCTCCAGTGTGTGCCCTCCTTGTCCGTGAAGGGCCTCCCCTTCCCAAAGCCTCCACCATGCTGGAGAAGGAAGAGCGGGTGGGAGAAGCTCCCCTCTCTTCTCCCTGTTCCCTAAGGTTCAGTTTCTGCATGAGAGGGAAATAGAGAGAAATGGCAGGATAATGGTCTAAACCTTGGGGAACCACATGCCAGAGTGAAGGGGCTCCGCCTCTGTTGCATGAGGCTCCTCCACTGCTGGCATGCACTTGCTGAGTTTGCCTTTTCTTTAATCAACTAGGATTCGAATACAGAGCATTTTTCTAACATCACATGACATGTCTTTATCAGCTCACCAGTGCAAGGATGTCTGTGTTATCATCCAAGAACTGTTTGGGAATACATACTGTAATTAAGTAACTATCACTGTCTTTAGTAATTAAGAAATTTAGTAATTAAAGATAGTGATAGTAATTATCACTGTCTTTAGTTCCTTCATTTCATTTCCTTCTGCTGAAGCAGGCTCAAGTGCACAGAATCTTCTGCCCTCGAAAAGGCATTTGTTTTTAAGGCAAGGATGGGGAACCTCCCACCTCTAATAAGGCCAACTGGGATTTCCCCTTCCATCCTGGCGGCTGATCAGGGATACGTGGTTTTCCCCGTGGGGTACAGAAGATGCACACCGCATGACTTAGTCTTAATCCTTAATCCTTGCCTGCAGTGGCTTGCGGTTTAGGATGCTCTAGAAAATGATGCCTGAGTGCTACTTGCTTACTTCTGGAAAGACATGCAAGGCTTATTCTGCTTTCTTCTACATAGATATCCTGCTTGTACTTACCTCTGAGCAGACATGCAGAGGGTTGGTGTTTGGAATGCTATCTGAAAACATTGTTGAGTGATTATTTCCTACTTATTTCTGAACAGACCCACAAAGTCTTCTCCCTCTTATTTCTGAGTAAAGATGCTTCCCATGTAAATGAGTAATAATGACATTTCAGGGGGTGGGAGCAGTCATGATCCAGGCACTTCTGCCTGTGTCCTAGTCACCAAAGCAGTATGGCCCCTGAGAACATCCTCCCACTGGAATCTGAGCCTCTGGCCACCAGTGGTTCCCCACCCTTCCTCAATCTTTGCTGCACTGCCTGCAGCCCACTAAGGTCTCTGTCCTTCTGGCAATCCCCAGAAGAGAGGTATCCTTGATGGCCCAGCGAGATCCAGACTGCAGATTTTAGGACTCATGTTGTCCAAGCCACCAGCCCACCTTGTGTCAGCCAGTATCTGTGAAGTGTACCTAGCCAAACAGCACTCCATTTCCTGAGCCTAAGGCCTGTTTCTGTCAACAGCAACAGTCATACTCGATTCATTGCCTGTCATACTCCCAAAGGTTAAAGCGGCAGATCCCACCCCAGAGGATATGTAGTGAAACTCACCGGAAAGTATCTCCCACCCGATCCTGGAAGTATATAAAGCCTTCGCGGTCTTGCATCAGGAGGTCACCGCTGTTGAAGTAGGAGTCTCCTTTCTTCAGGACATCCCGAATAATCTTCTTCTCTGTTTTCTCACGATCCCCTGCATAACCTTCAAACGAGTACTGTGCAGTAACCTTGCACACCAATAAACCAGGCTCACCTGCAATGGGAAAAGGAAACCAAGCAGAAACAACCTACAGTCATCTTCCAGGGAGGGACAGGCTGTCATCTCCGGTGCTTGAAGCTGAGCAATGTTACTGGGGATCACTCCTTCCTAGCACTTTCCCCACTATCAGTTCCATCTGCAACCACTAGAACTATTAATATCCTTCCTCGGGATTGTACTAAGCTGTGAATTCTGTTAGTTCTTGTGACACTGAACTAGAGGAAACCAGTGCTTGTACAATGAGAAATTAGCTCCCACAGTGGGACTTCCCTCTCCTTTCCTCCCATTTGCAGCCCTTCATGCAGGCAACAGAGCTGGTGGGAGGTGTAAGGGTGGGAATCCTTTTTGTCAGCACTCCCTCCCTCTGGGGGAGTGACAGCTTTGGATCCAGCCACAACTTTCCAGGTTGCGAGGCGCACACCCAGTTGACTCTAATTCAATTAAGAACAACAACAAGTCAGTGTATGATGCTGTTCCCAAGGATTTTCCAGATTTATACAAGCTCCCCAATGCTGAGGAGCTATAGCTGCAAGGGCCACAACATCAGAAGACGTACCATATAGGCAATATGCATGCATGATAGTTTCCTGTGCTGTGGTGAGCTCAAGTTTCACTCACCCTCCCCATAGAAGAATGGCTAATGTTAGCAGAATGGGGGGCCTAAATCTACAGGCATCTTGCAATGAGAGGTTTAGTCCACTGCTGTATGGAGGCTTCTCCTTCCCTTTCCGCTGAAGAATAATAACCCATCTTCTCCAAGCAGCTTTTTTCCAGGATCTTGTATTTCTCTGGCTTTCTATACATTCCATTAACCAACTAGAATATGGCATTGTGGTATGGCTGCAGTTTGGCACATCTTCATCTTTTCATGAGGCTTTTGTTCCAGATGGGCACAATTTAAAATTTAATGCCAGATTTTCCACACTCTATAATGAGCCTCCAGAAAAAGGAGGAAAACTCAGGAAAGGCCTGGAGGACAACGACATCCTGAAAAGGCCCCATACATTTCCATGAGTGAGGGATCATTAGCACATGATAAATGCATCATGTAGAGAAGTCCTTAAGTTACTGCACCACATAGGCCTTCTCTCTTACTTTCACAAACTTCGTTCCAAAAAACAATGTACAAATAGAGGAATTTTCACTGCAAAGTTTCCTATGCTGCAATATTTCAGATCAGTTGCGTTTTCACAGTATAAGCCATAGAACCAAGTACCCCAGTTCCTGGCTAAAATGGTGAGAACAGTTCAGCATCTCATCCTTAATGCAGAACAACTACATCATCCTGTAATTTATCATATTACATCCTGTGATATCATCCTGTAACTCTGAGATATCAGTCCCTGAACCTTCTGAATGCAAGAATGAACACCAGTATGGCAAGGCTGTAGCTTCACTTTGACCACACCATGAAATTCATGGGCATCTATTCAGGACAGACAAAGGGAAATTATTTATTAATGCTGCGTATAAGGTATAGTATATGATGGTTCTGATGGTTTTAAAAACGGTTCACATGAATGCATGAAAGATTGATCTATCAAATCTCATCTATCACCAGTCCAAAATGGAACAAAAATTGCAACGTGCTCTTCAGTCAGGATTTCAGCCAGCCATGCCCTTTTCCAGGATATGCCCTTCTCCTCCTCCTCAACCCTGTTTTGCAGTGACCCCATCTTCAACTTTCAGCTAGCAATTGGTGACTATGTTCCATTCTTCCCATGCTGCTTTGGGTTATTGTCTTCCCATGCAAAAGATATTCTCCTGCTTTGGCAAACATTGCAGTTCTCCTACATCTCAAATCACCCTCCTGTGCTTGGATGGTGCAGTTTTGGCTACAAGGATCACAGTGAGTTCTTTATCAGCATGTAGCAGGGGTGGGAACCTTAGACCTGAGGGCTAAATGTGGCCCTCTGAGAGTTCCCCAGGAGGCCACATCCCCTTCCCCTGGCCTCACACACCTTCCCCCAACTAGTAATGTTTTGGTGATATCCCAGCTTTTGGGCTGTTCCCCACACCCCATTATAAAGGCTGAAATGCCTTCCTCAAGCCTTTGTTACTGGTAGTAAGAGTCTTAAGCTCATGTATGCTTGTTATTTCAATTCCACCCCTTTTGCCTTTGGCCCTGCCACCAATGGAATGTGGCCTCCACAGCTCTTCTGAAACTGAATGGAGCCCTCAGACCAAAGGAGGTTCCTGGACCATGGCACAGAGGTTTGCTACTTGGGATCTTCCAGATTTGCAGGATGTATTCCTCTAAATCAGGGGTCTCAAACTCACGGCCCACGGGCCAATTGCCAGGATGGGTGGGGCATGGAGGAGGGGCCCTGCATCCTTCAAAGCGCCTGCGGCACCCGGACCGGCCACGGGATGAGTGGCCCACCACCACCGCGGTGGTGGAATACTTGATGCGGCCCAGCCTCACCCAGACTCTACTTCCAGCGGCCCCCAGGTAAGTTGAGTCTGAGACCCCTGCTCTAAATACTAGCTGCTGCTTGAGGAAAGGTCTGTTGCCTTCACATTCTGCCTCTAGGCTTCACATCACATCTCTCTTCTCCTTCACAGCTGCAACACCTAATAATGAAGACTATGACATCACAAGGTAGATGCCCACGTCTCAGGTGGGTTTAGTTGCCAGACAGATAAAGTCACCAGGATGTGCCCATGAGCCATCAAGACCCCAGCAGCTGAAGACGACGAGATGAGCATGTTTCTCAGTGCTTGCAGAGGGGATGACTGATCCCAGACTGGGCAATAAAATGCAGCATTTCTGAAGAGCTCTGTGATTATGTTAAATATTTGAAGGAACTGAGCAGAATGAAGCTGCTATCCCCCAAACTTGTTTTGGAGAGCATCAGGAAGACAAGAGCAGTCCCAGGCCTAGAAAGAAAACCTTCGGTGAAGGACGCTCTAATCCCCAACAACAAAGAAAGCAGAAGAAGCAACTCAGTAAAGTGGTGTGTTATGTGTCTCCGGTGTAGAAGTCCCACATTGCAATGGAGGATGGGACTGAAGGCAACTGGGCCGGGACCAAAAATGCAAAAACATGCCAGAACATCTTACCACCCACTGGTGAGTCTTAGGAGAATGAGTGAGTCTTAGAAGAGACATTCCAACCATTAAGAATGGGGCAGGGGAACTACACGAAAACTGGGGAACCACAAATGATCTGGTGGGTGGTGGAAAAGGAATCTGAGCAAGAGAAGGTGCTTGGCCATCTGAACTCCAAAGGCAGGAATGGGACCCTGGAGGACTTATTTGGCCCTCAAACCTAAGGATCTCTACCCCTTCCCTAGTCTCATACAAACTGATGGAATGGCGAAGTTGACTGAACAGGAAGAACGCTCAAATCAAATTTATTTATAACAAGAAGCTGTTTTTTTAAGTAACAAAAATATTTTTTCATGGCAGAGCATGGCTGAATAGAAAAGATAGATTTGCAACGCTTTTGTGTTTTGTTTTACAGGTCTCTCTGTGCAGATATGTCACTCATTTAATATACTTTGGGCATATGCTGTGCCCCCAGATGTTTTGGTGCACAACTCCCATCAGGCCTAACCATCATAGCCAGTGCTAAGCGGTTATGGGAGCTGTAGGCCAAAACATCTGGTGAGTCACAAGTTACCAGCACAATTTATAAAGTGCAACCAATCTTAAATCAGTTCCAGATCTGAACTGGTATTGATCATGAACACTACCCAATCATGGACAATATCTGACAGTTGTCCATAACAGTCACATCCAACCCAAGGGTTCTCATGCCCTGCCTACTTTACTGCTAGAAGCTAGATCAGGTAGTTCTCAGCTATTATGGGCTGGTTACAGAGCTGTGGCTTCCCCAAAAATTCTTGGAATCATAGACTGGTGAGAATGCTGAGAATGTGTCAGGTCTCTGCATTTCACATTGCCCACCTTCCATGTTTGACATAAAGCACAGGTAACTCACGCTTCTTCTTTTCATACCTCCTTGCCTTGTGAGGAGGGAATCTGCCTGTCTCTTACAGGAGGAGCTCCGCACAGGAGGGTTTCTCACATTCACAAGCAATGCATCTGCCTGTGCACAGAACTATGGCAACACGAAGCCCAGTCTATGTCCAAATGCTTCTTCAATTAGCTTACCCAGAGCCACTGGGATACAAAGCCCTTTCTCATCCCTCATAGGTGCCTCCTTGTCAACGTCATAGCGAATCAGTTCATACCGGACCAGTTTCTAAAGTGGGACAGATGGGAAGGGAAAATGTGAGCCCACAAGACTGAAATAGAGACAAGTGCACTGCATGTGAACTGGGATGTATTTTTGGATGATCCAAGGGAAAGAAGAAAATGCGACTGCTGCTGAACTTTAAGAAACAAAAATCGTGACCACAGAAGAATTACACTTTAAAATCAACAAAGGAGAAACTGAAATTGGGAAAGATTTTGCATAGCTTGGTTCAATCATCAATTTGAACAGAGACTGCAGCCATGAAATTAGAAGAAGTCTGAGAACTGGAAGGGCAGCAAAGAGAGAACTAGAAAGGATCATCAAGGGTAAGGACATTCCACTGGAAACCAAGACCAAACTCATCCACGTGATTGTATTCCCAATCACTATGTATGCATGCAAAAACTGGACAGTGAAGAAAGCTGACAAGAAATACCCAGACTGACCGAAAGATGGACAAGTGGGTCCTAGATCAGCTCAAATGAAAACTTGCCCTGGAAGCAAAGGCAAGGTTCGCTGGAGAAGGCAATAATGTTTGTGAAAGTTGGAGAAGGACAAGGACTAGAGATGGTTCAATTCCATAAAGAAGACCACAACCCTGAGTTTAGAAGAGTTGAGCAGTACTGTCAAGCCAGCAGTCTCCCTGCACTGTTCAACCTGCTCTCCTGCTTTGAGCATTAGCAGAGAAAGGAGAGCACTTGCTTTGCATAAGCTGCAATGCTTGCTTCCTCTCTTGCCTCTCCAATGCTTGCTTGCTCTCCTGTTTTCAGTGTTGAGAAACTGGAGAGGTATCTTGCTCAGGACCAGCTTTGCCACACACCATGTGTGATGAAGGCAAGAAGATAGTGTCTGAATGGCACAGCAAGACCTTTCATAGTGCTGGCTGCAACTGGGTGGATGGGACGCGATTTATGTTCTGCTTCAGGCAGCAAAATCCCCAGGAACTGTCCTGAACTTCTGGGGAGATTGTCACAAGGGCAGGCAAAGCAGCACTGAATACAGCTCTGGCATGGAGAGATGGCAAAGCTGGGCTAAGCAGAATTCTGCCAAAATTCATAATGAATTTACCCTTAAGCCTGATCCATGTGAGAATATCTAAAGCTTAGAGCAGGTGTGGCCAGAAGACAGATCACCAGACCTTCTGAACTTCAACTCCCAGCATTCCTGACCATTGGCCATGCAGGAACAGGCTTACTGGAGCTGAAGTCCACCCCTGATTTAGACACACTTCTGTACAAGCAATGTAACCCTTCGAGGAACAAATGCTTTCCTAACATAAAGAGAAATAAAGAGAAATTTAGTGCACAATCTTATGCATGTTTAGACAGAGAAAACTCCTACAACTTCCACCATGTCTCAGCAAGCCATGATGCCTGAAGCATGCTGAGAACTGCGGATCTTGTTGTTGTTTGCCTAAACACGCATGGGACTGAGCCCTACATTCTTATGAATGTCCTGAACCTTTACAGCAGGTAGCCTTTAGTACCTTGTATAAGTAGCTGGTCCTTCCCACAGCTCCTACTTTCCCCGGGTAGTTCACAAACCCGATATTGCCCTCTGTAGCTCCATAGAATTCACAGATTCGGATGGGTCCAAAGCGGCACATGAACTCCTTCCAGACGTCTGCCCTCATGCCGTTGCCCATTGCCATGCGCACATTGTGGTCACGGTCATTGTTCTTCTGCAAGACAAAATGGTGAAGGGGACCTTTGGTGGACTAAATAAACTTTATTCAAAGCTGATTAAGCAGGGAACATTTGCCACAGTTAGTCTTGCTGGAATTATATCTGTAGGGCCAGATGATATACAGCTACAGTACAAAGCATGCGTACTGTGTGCAATAGTTTCCTTTACTTGGGCGTAAGCATTTGTAGCAATTATTCAGATAAGGACCATGGTGCTCCGTGGGAGGGGATTTTAAACTTTCTCCTCAACCCATTTTTCTCTGATTTTTTATTTTTTAATGAGGGGATAACTAAGAAAATCTCCACTGATGTACTATTGACCCCCCCCCCTTTTTTAAAAATGTGATAATTCACCTCCTGCTGGCAGATGTTCCCCACCCTACAATGACCCAACAGTCAACATGAATTTTGGGAGCTTATGAGATGGTGAGGGGAGCAAATGGCTGCTGCCACTGAAACATCATGGCTGGCATGCTTTTTGTGGCAGCAACCATTCCCACTGCTGATAGCTACACATATGCAGCTAAGCACTGAGGAGCGCCAGGGACCAGGTTCATGGGACAAAACCAGCCACAACATGGCCACATATGCTCAGTTGCATATGCTCTAATGTCTCTGCATGTGTGTTTAAAGGATCCTATCTCCTGGGGCATCCCTATTTGTGACAAGCAATGCACAGCCGGGGCAGAGGAGGGCATTTGGTTTCAGGAAAAGAACACAAAAAGATTCAAGGTGCAAAGGCAGCACGAGGTGAAGGCCAGGTGTGCAAAACACCGGCTAATCCAGGTGGATTGGACACAAGAGAGATCAGGTCCCTCCACTTTTAGTTGAGCCAATGCCCATGGACAGCGGGGTGGTGGGGCGGGTGGCCTCCCAGAGATTCGGGGTTCCAAATGAACAGTTTGGAACTCTAGTCCTAGCAGGCCACTCTGAAAGTTGAATTCACATCCAGGGCATTCCAGAAGGAAATGGCCGCCACCTGAAGCCATCAAGATAGGCCTCCTGGAGACTCCACAAACTATTTGCATCATTGGGAGATTCTAGGAGTGACACCAGATAGCACTTTACCAAGCCTGGAGCTGACCCCACCTGGGGGCAAAGTGGCTTGCATGAACCAAGGTGGGCAACTTATAGGCTGAACTCTCTGGAGGGCCACAAATGACCCACCTCAGGTAGAAGCCATGCATTTCACAGAAAATGAGAGTCACAACTAAACAGGAAGTGAGGGTGGGAAGGGGGCTGCATGCATGAAGGTCCTACAGGAGATCTGTGAGATAGGCTTATGTCTCCATGGTCTTATATTGGCCTCATTGTTCTCTAGAGCCACCACCTATATTGTGTGGACCCAGTAGTGGAGCATTCAGTGGAATAACCCATAGTCCTCTTCAACAGTGCTTCGTCCCAATATATTTGACCTCTCCCATCAATTACCTTTGGTGCATTACACAGATAACGCATAATTTCTCCTACATACTGGATCACAGTGACACCATATCGTCTGCAGTCATCCCAGTACTGGGAAACAGAAAACTTAGACTTCAAGACCAAGGTAGCGCCTTATTAAAACAAAAGTAGAGAGAAAAAAGTTGTTCAGGAGGGGTGCTACTGTAAGGACTGGAGGTGTTGGGGAAGACTGATTCAAGTTTTTTAATTGTTGTAAGGGGCGAGGGAATCACATGGCTGGAAATACACGGGCTGGAAATACACATGGCTTTAGACCCTCCGTTTTCACTTACATTTCCAAACAGGATATTCAGTAAGGTGTCTTTTTTTTAAGAGCAGAAGAAATATGGTATTATTTATGGAAACTAAAATCACGGCTTTTTCTTGTGTATGCCATTCTGCTGTACCACAGTGCTACCTAGAGTTTACGTAGCAGAAAAGTAGGAAAGGAAATGCATTGTATGCAGTGTTTGAATTTCAGCACTGTGATAAACTGAAAGTAGCTACAGTAGATTAATAGGCTAGTGTAGAAAATCTCCCAGTGGTCCATTTCCCGAGCGCCTCTTCTTTCAGGAATGCGAGCCTCTGGTTTTGTTGTTCAATTCATTGCCTGACAAATTCATGTGTTTAACCTGTCCATTTGCTGCCTTGCTAATGACATTTCTAAAACACAGAACTGCTTTGGGGTGCAGTGTTCTTTGTGACCTGCAAGGGGGACAGGCCCACCTTCTAACTTTGGCTGCACATTTCTTCTTAGTGATATTGGCAGAGCTCAGCCCTGGAGAGGTAAAGTATTATTACAGCTGGCAAATGATTGACTTTTAGGTTTCAGATATGCAAACATGTTTGCAATAAGGAAAGGTTGGGGTGGCACACATAATTGCAGAACAATCTTATGCAAGCTTAGGCAGAAAAAGCAGCCAAAAACTCAAAGCTGACTGGGGCATGCTGAAAATTCTAGGCCATTTTTTCCCTGTCTAAACATGCGCAGGACTGCACACTTAAGGTGTTTTAATTAATCCGAGGATCGAGTGATATTCTTTGGCTGCTCTTCTGAATTTGGGTTCACAGAGCAGCTTCGAAGGCCAACGGATCCTCTTGAAGTATTGTAAGCCCCATGTTCCCCTTGGGGCACCTCTGATACCCTGGGCCTTCCTGCTGGGCACAGGATCAGCCATTAAATGGAGGACCGCCCTGAGCCCTTCACATCGGTGGGGCACTTTTTCTCATTGACCCTGAGCGGTGGCAGAAGCTCTATTCAGCTGAGTGAGACAGAGTAGGAGGGCAGCCCCAGCTCGCCCAGAGCCAGCCAGTGCGTTTTGCAGCAGGCGTCCCCTCACATTTGCCTGAAAGCAGGCAGCGCCCTTGGCACGATCAGGAGCTCTCCTGAAAGCCCACCGTTCAGTGTAGGGAGACTGGAGCTCTCCTGCCCTGCCCACCAGCCCCATCTTAGCTACCCCAGGCTTCCCCAACCTGTTGTCCTGCAGAGGGTTGGACTGCAGCTCCAAGCATCTCCAGACAGTCTGTGCATTGCCTGAAGAAGACTTCTGTGTTTTGGAGATTGCTCTGCTCTTGTATTGCCCATTGCCACCCGCCTATACTCCATTTTCCTCATCTGCTTCTTCTTCTATACTTGGAACATTTCTACACAAAGCTGTTAATTTGTTGCACCAATTTCAGCACAGGACTGAGGCTGGACCTATACACAAAGAGCACCCCCCTCCTAGATAACATCTAGGGGGTACTGTGGTGTACCTCCAATACAGGCTTTTCTACATGATGAAGAGGCACCCTTTCCACATTTTTGGGAGGGAAGGGGTTCCTTCTCTGCCTTTCTATGTATCCCACTACTCAAGCACTAAGTGGCACTGTGCCACAGCAGAACTGCATGAATACATGAGTGTTTCATTCAGCCATTCACAAATAATACCCACTTTTCCTGGATCTAAAATCCTCCACTAAAACGGTTACGAAGGATGAGAAGGGTCCTAGAAGAGGAGGATGGCATGCCAAATGCCCAAAACTATGGTGAGGAGCCACAAGCACACTATAAATGTGTCATGTGAAAAGGATCTACAACTCCTACCATCCTCAACTGGTTGGGGATGATAGAGATTGTAGTCCAGGAAATCTAGAGGAGAAAGGCTGATCTAGCTGAAGAAAACTCATATGTCTTCTGCATCTGTCTCTCCACCGCACACACCTCTCCCACAACACAGGAATGATACAGTAACCTGTCCCTGTCAGTCTACCACACACTCGCAGTGGAGATGTGCTGGGGCCCTCGGGGGCATTCCATACATACCAATGTGGATGCATCCCAGAACCGCAGAAAGTGCAGCCATGTGATACAGGGGAAGCGGAGTATAGACGATGTCCTCAGAATGGACCCTACATATGGGGAATAGATTACTTGCGCTGAACAGCCTCTTCTGGGTGATGATAGCAGGTTTTGGTAGCCCTTGAGACAGGTAGAAAAAAAGGAAGAGGTTCTTTTAACACCTTAAGTGACCTCCTCAAGCAAGAAACAACATTTTGCAGCCACGTAACTTTCCTTCACATCATTAACAGTTGATTCCCATTGGGACTAGTGTAGCTGAAGGCAAGCAGCTAATGATAGGCAGTGCCTAGGGATCTACTCCATGGCAGGAGCCCATTGCACAGAAAAGGCAAACTGAGGCATGCAAATAAGCTTAGGATGGTAAGTGCAAAGCGGAGGATTTTGGCAAGGGGCATTCTTTGCCAGCATGAACCCACTGAGCTGAAAGAACAGCTGAGACATGAAAGTAAGCTCAGGGTCCTGGGACAATTCACACAAAATGCTAAACCAAGCTAAAAACAAGTCGTCATGGTGAAATACTCATTAAGCCAAGCTCCTGCTGACAGACAACCAGGCACTCGCCAGTTTGCCCCGGTTCATTTCCCCTGTCAGGACAAAATGAGCGAAAGCGCTTCCATAATATGGCTGCTAAAAGTCTGACACTGTCAGAACAGCTTTGGACTTGAGACATGGATTGCTGATCTGATCAGGCATCCATGTTACAAGCCTTGCTTTCGGCTTCACTTTACAATGCTAATATGCCTGCCCTGAAGCTTTTTCCTTTGTGGGCACAACTTAGACCTGCCACTGTTTGCCTGTCCTGAAAGTTTTTCCTTTTGTGTTGTCTCAATCACATTCAGCCCTGTTGTTTTGCTCACATGTGCCTCTGGCAATCTCTCTGTGTGATCCCACCTCCTCCTCCAAACTGTGTATGTAACTGAAAGGTTATAAAAGCATCTTGTACAGACCCCATCTTGGCAGTCCCTTCCTGGGCTACCTACATGCCTCACATATTTCCTGTATGTCCAAAGAAACTGTGGGTGTTCTGATTGCACACCCCCAGCATCCCAGCTCTCTCTGGTTTTCTTGGCACCCCTTCTTTCTCTCCCCACCCCCACCACTCCCAGAAAGTATACCAGAAGCCAATACACCTGCTGTGATTAGATTCTGGCCTCCACGCCCTGCTTTCTTGCCTTATGAAGCAGCTGCATGGATATCTAAATGCCATATTTTTGGCAATGGAGTGTATAAAGATTACATACTTTTTAGGATTGGGTAGATCAGGGTTTTATTTATTTTCTTTCTTTTACACTAAAAAAAACCCCTCTTTGGCTGCTCTTTACACCCAGAGATGGGTGCCATTCCTCTTCCTAAGATACCTATTTGTATATGCACAGTTGACTTATCTCTGGGGAAGCATATTCAGTCAGAAGGGGGCATTTATGCTTTCCCTTCTCCTGCTTTCATGCCAAACCAGGATTGTAACTGGAAATGCCAGGACTGGAAAGTCTGTGCTCAGCTGTGGCCCTTCGCAATATTTATCATCAAGGCTTGCTTCCCACATCCACTTCCCCCCAGCTGGGGTAATGAAAACGGAAAGGAAGTTTTCCAGGCCTAATAGCACCTTCTCTCATTCAGAATCTCTCAGCCTTGGCCCCCTACACAAGAACAAGAAATTCTATTTTCCCTCACCTGTGGTCCCAGAGGTGAAAATATACATGGATGCAAATGATGGCGTGACATTGGCTCTGAAGGAAAGAGGCACTGGTTCGGCAGAGCTGGACTCGATCTGCCTGAGCAGAGCTGCCACACCCTCTGTAGGAGATTCATTGCTCAAGTAGAAAACCCGCACCCCTTCCTTCTGCAGAGCAGGCAGGACATCTTCAATGGCACCTTTCAATTCTTCAAGGGAGGAAGAAAATAGGCTTGAGTTGACTTGAGTTCCTAGCCTTAGGTTGAAGAGGGGAAACACCACCCTTATGCTACAAGCTAACCACCCCACTCCAAATTCCTCAGTTAAGAAGGATATGGATTGATCCTGAAAGGCAGTCGACCAGAGGAAGGTTAGCAAAGAGAGACTGTCTGCAGACGATGGGGTTTGAAGGTGTTGCACACAAGTCCAAAAGGCTGCTGTGCTCACAAGGAGACAGAGGCATGTGACCCTTCTGTCTCTGTGCCTCGACTAGCCGTTCTTGTTTTTCATTCTCCTCCACTGGGACCTGAGCATGCTGTTTACTGCTATTCTCACTCTCTGGGATCTAGAGCCAGGAATTTCCCATGAGAAGCTCATTAATTAATTCTGCTGTTGAAAAGTCTTGGCTGCAATCCCAATGCCAGCGGAGGCCTAGGAAGACCACTCTCTGTTATCTGTTGGCCACAGTTCAGATGCTTTGGTGGCCGTTAAGTATTGTTTTGATGAGTGTGAACTAGATCTGGCCAGGAATGAAGCAATCCTGGGCAGTAGCTCAGGTGTTAAAGGTGCTGTGTTCCACCAGATGGGTCTGGCCAAGGCCATCTGCCTGGTATGAGAATGCCCAAGGTGTGTATACAGTTATCTTTTAAGATTTGCTCCCCAGTTAGTTACATGCAAAACATATTAATCTTGTCTAGTTTAATAGAGCAGCTGTGATTATGGTAAACATTGAAAAACCTACTTAAGATTTGGGAATCTTGCTAAGAGCAGAATTTTGATACAGATACAGCATTGATACAGCCATGCTGTATACTGGCCAGACGTTTGCTGACATTCAATAAACATAGTACTCTGTACCTGCCTCACCTTTACAATCACTTTCCTTAAGTCTGCTTATAAAGCTCTATACTCTTTTCCCACAGTGTAGTTATAGTCCTGGTCCCCACCCATCCCCAAAACAAAACACAACACAACAAGCCCCACTGCCACAGGAAGAATATTGGGTACATTATTTGCAATTACATACCGACTTGCTACTGAAACTGGAGGCTCCTTTTCGGCAAAGTCAAATGGATTGCGATACTTTTAGGAGAAGTGGTTTTGCATTACACTCACTGGCCACAGCCTTTTTTTTTCCTCCCGCTCCCCAGAGCAGCCTGTCCGGCTATCCATCCAGGCACAAGGCTTGGCGCTCAGCAGCAACAAAGGAAAATAACAGAGCAGGAAAATTGGTGGTCCTTTCAAGACAGTTTTTAACTCCCTCTCAGGTAATGACTGCATACGAACATTACCGCTTAGAGCAGCCACTGGGGGCCTCCAACCTGCCGACCAGATATGGCCTGCTGGCAGAGGTGATGCTAGCTACTGAAAAGTTACAGTACTCAGCCCCATAGGACTATTTATGCTGATTCACATCTGCAAATATATCTATGCGTTGCGAGAACTGATTACTCTAATTTAAATGTTATAGAAGGCATGTTAATTAACCTCTTGCTTGTGTCCAGGATGGAGTTGTGTGTTGTTCCGATCTGTGCTTGCTTACAACTTACCTTTGAGGCATCCATACTTTTCCTTGGATGGCCTAAATTTGAATAGGGAGGATGGAAAGTCTGGGACCAGCAAGGAGCCCTATAGCACTGAACACGGCACACTGACAAGGGGTGGGAAAGTACTGCAGATGGTAGTCAGCCATATTCTTAGGCTCCAGACTTGCACAGCTACTCATGTTAATGATTATATCCAAGAACTGGTAAAGATAAGAGTTATCGATATAAATCTGAGATTAGGAGGAGTCATTGACTTTTGCAGGATATCCTGGATCTTCTTAAAGATAAATGTTGCAACATGCAGCTTTGTATGGAAAACTAGGGAGAAGGTTCACTACTTGGAATACTTCTAGTTGAAATGCTTACCTTATGGAGAGGACACTCTTATGAACCCTGGGCAAATATCCCAAGGACCATAAGATGGCTCAGAAAACCAAGGTCAGAGACTGCACTCCAACCTCATAAGGAAGAGTGAGAGGCCCTTGCAGCTTAACCCGAAAGAACCATGCCTGCTACCTCTCTCAGAAAATCAGTCTCAGAGGGGGGAAAGGAGGTGTTCCAATGCGTGAGGAAGGAAGATCAAATAGGACAGGGTTCAGTTTATCCTGAGCCTTCTCCATCATCCTCCCCTCCCCTCCAATGGACCTTGCTAGTTGGGTTGGAAGCAATCTAAGCATCGCTTAGTGAGGCTAACAATTTACCTGGTCTGAAAAGCTGCTCATATAACTGTCATATTGTCTACATTTAATTCCAGGTTAGTCGTGGAAGAAAAGAAAGGGAAGCTGACAATGCAGCTTTTGAAAGTTGAATGAGACACTCTAATTAAGGAAAATATATGGAAAGTTTTGTTTTGCTGCTTCCTAATGAATTCAGACTCTCATCACAGCAGCTGTGGGGGAAACTTATGTAAGTTTCCTTGCAGTTGGCACCAGGCTCCCTCAAATCTAAACAAAATAACTATCTCAAAGGCAAATTCATGTAATTCACCAAAAGCAGGCGGTTTCCATATGAACAGCAGCTGCCAACTTTAAAGGGAGAATAGATACATGAATCTATGAATGAATGGAAGATAAGGTTATCAGCAGCTACTAGTCATGTAGGTGATATATTACATCTGGTATCAGAAGCAGCACGCCACCCAGTATCAGTTGCTGGGGATCATGGGTAGGAAGATGCTTTGCCCTCCTGCTCTGCTCGTGTGGCTTCCCAGAGGTTGGGTATTGTGGAGCACTGGACTAGATGGGCCTCGGTCCCATTCAGCAGTATGGAAGACAAGGATCTAGTGACCTGTGTGCCAGCCAGCTGCCCATGTGCTGCTGATTATTATTTTATATATTATAAAATAATTACATAATATACATATGCATGTATTCCTTGCAAGAAACCCAAGGCAGCTTGCATGGCTCCAGCTCTTCTACTTTTCATCCTTTTCTCCATTATATCAATCTTTAAACCAGAATTGGACTGGATAGTCCTTCAAATAGAGAATGTCCTCTCGCCCAGGCAGTCCTCTGGAAGCACATCAAATAGAGGACTGTCCTCTGGAAATGGGGACCCACATAGCCACCCCACCAGACCCTACCACAGACCCAGCCACCATGGAGGTTGCTGCATGATCAGAAGGTCTGAAAAAGGCTCTGTAAGCTTGCTCAGCTCAAGGCTGTGAATTTAGGCTAGAGGTAAGCAGGCAGCCAGTGAAGAAGATGTGGTCTAGAACAGGGGGTTTTGTAAACATCTTCTTAAGTTTGCAAGCTTTCTTGTGATTTACAAAACTGGCCTTTGTGATTGCATTCCTTCCCCAGGGAGAGTAGATGCAATTGGATGGATCCAAGAAAAGGAGAATGTGGAAGAAGGCCATGATCTGCCCTGAGGAGAGCTGTGACCAAACAGGAACAACACTGCAGCATAGACAAGCTTTTACTTTCCTGCTTGGAATCCACCATTTCTCCCATGCACACAGATTTCCTCACCTGGAGTGGTCACTACCACTTTGGCCTTGCAGGAACTGAACGCATGCAAGAGAGACTTCAGTCGGATGTTGTAGTTGACACAGGCTGTGGCACAGCCGATCTTCTCCAGGCCCAGCCAGACCCAGGTGTAGGCAGGGGTGTTCTTCAAGAAAACAGCCACTGTTTCTCCTCCTTTCAGCCCCAAATGGCCCCGGAACACGCGGGCCACCTGGCTGCTGCGCTGGTCAATGTCTCGGTAGGAATAGGTCTCCTCTTCAAAGAGAATGAAGGGCTTCTCTGGGTGTTTCTGGACTTTGGCCAAGAAGATGTCCAGCATGGTGAAGGGAGGCTTGCGCTGGAGGTACTTCTGAGATCTGTATCCTATGCGTATTATGGAGTAGAGAAAGACCAGGTCCTGCCAAAAGTAAGGAAAGATAATACTCCCCACGAGGGGCAGAAGGACCAGGAATGCCAGCATAGCTGTGACCAGGTCCAGCATTTTGATATGTGGATTCTGACCTGATGCCCAGGAAGCAGGACACACACCAATTGTGGCAGGCTGCCTCTGAGCCCTGTTGTGTGGGAAAGACAAGAAGCAGAGAGTCCTTAAGTATGAGAGGCACTTGCCACTCTCCCCTCCCCTGCATCCCTGCAAGCTAATTTGAAGAAACCCTTGCCTCCTGAACAGTAAACTTTAACCAGTGTGAGCTATCTCTTAGAGGCTATTGCCCTCTGTGCTGGGTCTCTCCCATTTGTGGCTTTTGCTTGCAACAGAAGGTAGGCAGGGACATGGGATGCTGCCTTGTGCCACATCTGACTCATGAACACCCATTGGCAGGTCAGATCAGGGAGCTGTAATCCAAAATATTGTGGGGCAGGAGAGCAAATTAGTTACTCCCAGTCTAAATCTTTGCAAGAAACAGATGAAATGGATGCAGACTTGGTTTGATGTCTACTGCAGGTCTGTTAGACCTGGTGCAAGCGGACTGAGATCAAGGTACTAAGCAGCAGAAGGGGAAGGACAGAAGTAGGGGAATAGTTAAAACAAAACCAGGCTGAGGTCAAAATCCAAGGCAGCCAACGACAGTCCTCCACAGAAGGCAGATTGCACAGAGCGAGGATCAAGGACTGAGGGTGGGGCCACAGAACTGGTAGGCAGGGATTGCCTCTTTAGGTCAAGGTGTCCAGGAAGGCTGGTCCTAGAGACCTAGAAGCAGGAATAAGGGGCCCCAGTCACTGTTGTTGGATTCTAGTTCCCATCAGCCCCAACACAGCAGGAGCAAAGGTGAGGGATGATGGGTGTTGTAGCTCAGCATCATCGGGCAGGCCACTGGTTCCTCATTTCTGGCCAAGACAGCCCCCTCAGATCATGGAATTCAGTCTGCTCAGTCCTTCAGACCTTCCTTTGTGCCTTTGTCAGGCTTGGCACCCACTGAGACTGTGGTCAATGAATAGGGTGACCATGTGTCTGGCTTCCCAGAGATCTGTCTGCTTTTGCAGAGGTGGCCAAAGGTAGGCCTAGCCAGAGACCTGCCAAGGGCCCACATCCCAGCAGGGGCCCACTGAAGAGAGCACCCTAGAGTAGTCCCTTCTTCTAACCATTGCAACCTCTTGTTCAGGGGCCTCCTGCCCTGGGCCAGACAATGATGGTGGTGAGATAGAGGAGTAGCAGATGCCACCAGCCAGTAGCTCCCTGGCTCCTTGCCTCTCAAGCAGGCAAATGTGGTAGCAATAATGAGGAGGAAGCACATGAACAGCTGGGGGACAACAGTGGTGGAAGACAGACTCGAAAAGGAAGGGATGCCCACTGGGGGTGCATGGACACCCTACGACTGGGCAAACCTAACTCCAGTTCAGTCACCAATAGGGTAGGCACTGAAACATCACAAAGAGTACAAAAAGGATATTGAGGTGCAGAAAATGTGCCCTGTCCCCAAGGAACCACTGGAGGCACCTCAGGTTCTCCGAGTCTGGTGGATGGCGGTAGGCCTTCAGACGAGGGTTCTGCACCCGTTACAATGGCTACTCAAGCACTAGTGCCCCCCAAAAGAGCCTCAACCAAAAAGAGGAAACCAATTTCGTAACGATCACAAATTTGGCCACAAGAGGTGGTCAGGTTTGCTGATGACACCAATTAGTTCAAACAAGGAGGTCTGTGAAGGACTCCAGAAGGATACATATGAACTTGGAGAATAGGCATCGAAATGGCAATGTGGTTCAGTGTAAGCAAGTGTGAAGTATTGATTGTTGGAGTAAAAATGGGATCGGGATCAGATGAAGCTTAGCCCTGTGCTCCTGCTTACACATCACACAGCAAAGACATGTCATTGGAGCCTTCTGGCCTCCCACATCAACAGCTGCTGCAGAGCCTAAGATCAGCTTTTTGGCCCATGTACCAGAGGATGTGCCTCGAGGTGCCCCTTCAGTTTAGAAACAACAAGCAAGAGAGGGAGTGCGTAATGGAGATGCAACAAATGTGTTCTGGAAAATCACTTTAATTTCACTGGGGCGGCTTATCATCATTTAGATATTTTGAGAAGAGGGACCTTTGATTGACCCTTCTACTATATTCTACCTCAGGGAATATCTAACCATGCAGAACTCGCTGGAAGAGCACCTGGAATTTCTTCCTTGGGTAGCAGAGGCGCAGGAGGTACCACTCATGGGGTATGAATGCCACTTAGTGGTTGGAACCAGAACCTGTAGAAGGAAGGAGCCTTCCATGAGTGGAAGGGCTCTGCTCACATAAGGTCCTCCACTCAGCTTGGAAGGATTCCCACACACACCATAGCTCACCCCCTTCATCGGGGCCTCCTGCCCCTGTAGCATTTTCAGGGATCGGGATAGATTACCATGAGGGGTGAGGAAGGCACTTCCAGCAGGACAAGAACCTGGATCCAACCCATTGCTTTTTGAGGCTGGGCATCAATTCACCCAAGTTTAAATGGCAGCGTTTCCACATGTCATCATTAACCATGAATGACCCACTCTCTGAAATGAGAGCAAAAGGGGCAACCACAAAAGACCAGTCCTGGCTCCCTGCTATTGTCTCCTGGCTTAAATTAGGCCATAGACTGCATCTGAATATAGGTACATATCTGTATGTGCAGTGGGAACAAAATCGCCCCTATGTGTGTGAGCCAGCCGGGGAGGGAACTAAGCAGCCATTGTTACTGACTACAACATATATTTTCCATTATGTACTTCATGGAGCAAACATTTTGCTAGGACACTGAAGGACGCAGTCCACAATGAGGGAGGTAAAGCGAAATACACACTTTACAATGAACAATACCCAAACTGTTGTGTATAGATTTTTCAAGAACACACACAAACACATGAAATCCCAGGCAGTTTCTCCTCAAAGAAGCCGTTGCTGTTCCTGAGCTCCCTGCACCACGAGGCCCATTAAGGCAACACTCGCATGGTGTGCCTAGAAGCCTCTCTCACAGCTTCAGCTTCTTCTCCAAGATGGAGCTGTAGATCTGCTGAGTCATGGGCACGTAACATTTTTCAGAAGCATCTAGGAAGTAGAGTGGATCGCTGATGGCAGCAGGGTCAAATCCTTCCTTCACCAGCTGAACTTTGCGCTGCTTGAACGTTCCTGTGATCTCCAGGGCGTCCTGTATGGAAAACCACAAATGATCCCAAATGGTTCCCCACAGCAGAGCTAGAGTAAGTCAAGGGGAACAGGTAGGCTTCCCATGCAGGTAAATTCTGCAGGCTCTGCTGGGGAACTTGCCATCCTCTGCATCTTAAAGATAAGAAAGAGGATATACATTCTGTGGATTTATAGCAGCCTGCTAAATGGCAAACCGCACATGCCACAGGAGGCTCTCGGCCATGCAAGAACCTGCTCCATCTTGAACCAGTTTGATGCAATGATCAGAGTGTTGGACTGAGACTCGGAGATGTGCGTACTAATCTCCATTTGGGCTATGATGCTCCTTGGGTGGCTTTGGGGCAGCCAAGGATTCTCAGCCTAACCCACTCCATTGGATTGCTATAGTAAAGACAAAATGGAAAGGGGGAGATCCTTGTAAGCCAAATTGGGTTCTCTGCAAGACGAAGAAGGGCAGGGTATAAATGTCACATCCTATCATATCCCGTCCTAATTGACTGGCTCCTACAGGCTTCATCCTTCCCCAGTGGCCTTAACAGAAGCATTTCTGCCCTAAATATGGCCTCCCCAAAGCAAAGAGTAAGGCTATCAGTGGCTTACTCGACCTGACGGCTATCGATGAAGCCTTCCCTACTCCGGTGCCCTCCAGGTGTTTTGGACCCCAATGTTATGTTGCAATGCCCCAATTTTGCCACTGGGTGTTTTTTGCTTGGGCATAAATTTGTCCTCTGGGAATGACTACCAGACATCTTTAGCAAGGCTGAATGGCAGTCTTTGCCCCTCACCCAGTCGGGACCACAGCAGGGATAAAGCTTGAATGCCCCCTCCCCTCAAATCACAGTCCCAACCTGGCTGAGTGGTCCAGGTATGTAATCTAACCCCCCACCAAAAAAAAAAAAAATCAGACAAGGGCTAAAAATGTAGGTTCTGAGGCAGGAGGCTTGCAAATGATTTTGAAACACAACAAGACGAAATGAAATGAAATGTAGTTTCTCACCCTGATGCGGACAAAGTGAGGTATGGCATACTTTGGCAGGTATCTCTGAGCATGTGCATACAACTTCTTTCCATCAAAGGAGAGACCCTCTTTCAGCTTTATGGCTGCCATTCCGACCTTTCCTTCGTGTCCTGAAACAAGCCAGAAAGGGGAGTTTTAAAGGAAGAATTTCACACAAATCAAATGCAGGAAAGCCCCCCAGTGGCTGCTGATTCTAGGCAAAGCAGCAGTGGAAAGGGGAGGTTTGCACTGGGAGAGCAGCAGGGAAGGAGATGGCAGCTGAGTTCTTTCCCCTGCATTAGTATTTCTTTCTATACCATCCTGGAATCACCTCTGGTAAGTGAAAGGTAGCATAGAAAATTTTTACATGAATAAATAACCCTCTCCCAAGCCTCTTCCCCCATGGAATTTGAGGTGCATGATGTCAGCCAAACATCTTAAAACCGATGGTGGGGAAACACTTGCAGGATATGAACCCAGTTTGCACAGCACAGCAGCAAATGGTGGATTCTTTAACTCACAATTTGTGGGCACACACGCTGAGCAACATTTCCACTCTCTGTAAACAGCCTCCAATCAGCCTATGGTTGGAGGTTGCGAGTATGATGTATGAACCTGCATGGCTGGGTTGTTAGGAGTGTGGGTTCACACACGATCACACAACTGCCGATTACAGGTTGTTTACAGATAGCTGAAAAAGGGGGCATGGCACATGTCCCAGCAAATAGTGGGTTAATTAACTAACAAATATCAAAAAGGACCATTGCCCAAGCCAAGAACAGCAGGGACGAAATACCCAAAACACAGGCAAATCTTAGCTTAAGTTCTTATTGCCTGCCAATAATTCAGCCTTAGGAGAACTGTAGCAAAACATTTCGGCCAGTGCTGGCATTTCTGATGTTCTGGCCCTGTCTCCTTTTGCCCTGAGCCCCCCTTTCCCTGGAACATGGTCCCCGAGGACTCCAAAACTGAATCCAGCCCTCTTTCTGACAGAAGTCCAGCACCCCTCCTTCTCAGCTGGTGGGGCTCACAAGCACTTTGAATGGTGACCTGAAACAGCAAGCAGACAACCAGTTTGACCAAGACAGCAGATCCAGATGATAGTCCTGGCTCACTCTTCCTGTAACAGGCAACCAGGGAGCAGATGCTGATGTCATTTTTATGGGCTTTACTGTGAGACCACAAAGCTGCGCTTTTTACTGAATCACTTTTACAAATGGCCTTAGTGTGCTTTTAGATTTTTGCACTGCTGGTTTTATGCTGGTTTTAATTTGGTTTCCTTCTGTCTTAGACTTACGGTTCTTATAGTATAGGGGTGGCCAAGCTGAGGCTCGGGAGCCACATGCAGCTCTTCGAGCTTATTTTGCAGCTTGCAACTTGCTGCCTGTGGGCACCCACTTTTGGCTCTCAGTCATTTGACATTTACTGCATATGGCTCTTCTGTTAAACAAATCTGGCCAGCCCTGTTGTAGTATTCCTTACTGTGTTATTATAGTCTGTGGTCTGACATTTTGTTTCATGAATTCCTCAGGGAGCTTCAGCTATTGGGCAGCACAGAAAAATGTATCAAATAAATACAATGCAATAAAATTCCATACCCACCTGGCACCACTACCCCGTATACATTAACTTCCTGGATAAACTCCAGCTTTGCCAGGAGGGTCTCAACCTCTGTGGTGGCCACATTCTCCCCTTTCCACCTGCAACATAAGAGGAGATTGTATTAGGTCATTTTTCTCATTAGATTCAGGTCACTTTTCTCATTACATTTTTTATTTTATTTATTTATAAAATTTGTATGCTGTGCATTACTTGCGTAAACATAAATCAGAATAAAATAAATAAATTGACTATTCCACACTGGCTGTAATTAATAAAATACAAACAATAAAATCCAATTACTATTAATACATATTAAAATATTGATTAAATAAAAAGGTCTTGACCTGGCACCAAAAAAACATATAATGACGGCGCCAGGCAGACCTCTCTGTGGAGCGCATTCCATAGTCGGCCCTCCTCTGGGTACTCTGTCTCCTAACATCTTTCAGAGAGGGTTCCCGGAGGAGGGCTTCTGTTGCCAATCTCATGGGGTGGGAGGGCAAATAGGGAAAAAAATTGTTACACGTGAATGTCTATCACCTGTTAATAATACACTACTCTCTAGTCTTGTAGAGAGGAGGCCCAGCTGGCTGGTTCAGATCCAGAGTAGGAGGGGAATGAGCAGGAATGAGAAAAGGTTGCTGAACTGTCAAGGTCACCATGACAGATAACTCAGAGTGTGGGAACCAACAGTCTTGGAGCCGCAGAGAGACTCTATAGAACAGGGAGGGGTAAAGATTGATGTGGAGTTCCAAGACTCTGTCAAGCAGTGTCCAGCCAAGAGAGTATTAAGGATTTCCCAGCATTCCCACTGTCTAGCTCTCAAATAGCATGATCCACCCTGAGGGCAGCAACAAGTCCCTCTGAAAAACAGGGAGGGGAGGTCCAATTTGGATTCAGTGCTTCACGTGGGCAGACGCTCCTCCCAGATATCAAAGGGGTTGTTACTTTGATTTATGCTGCTTGTAAACATGTAGAGTTCAGCGGAGCAGCGCTTCTAAGATTTCCACTATGTCCACTGGAGAGGGAAGGGAGGTGGGGAGAGATGTGCTCCCAAGAAGTACTATGTTACAGACAGTTTCTGGCAGACCTGACCTCTGAGGCTGGCCCTGGATTCGTGGCAGATTCAGACCTAAAGCATCTTGATTCAGAGCATTTTCCCGCTTGCTCCCCTACATGAACAGCCTGGGTGGCGACAAGCATTCTGCATGGGTGTCTATGCTGCCCAACCAGTGGAGATCAGATTTGGGTCTCTTGCACAGAGACCGTTACACTCATGGGTTATGCAGTGGTCACTGCCCTACTGCCACAGGGAGGAAAATAAGTTCTAAAAAGCCGTGTGGGTGGGTGCCCCCACCCCACACGCCTCCCCATCGGCATCCCACTCTTCCTGGCTCTTCTGGGTGCAGGCACCTGACTCAGTGTCTTGAACTAAGGATGTTGGCCCAGCATGCAATGCAGAACAAATGTCCCCAACAGCCAAGGAAGAGATGGAGCAGACCTGGATGGAGGGTAACCTCACCGGCTGAGGAAGCCAAAGCGATCTAGAAATGAACCCAACTGTGCATAAAGTACGAGGGTATGCATTTTCTTGTTTTTCTTTGCAGGTGTGAGAGGGAGCTCTTATTGCTGTTTAAAAGATAATTCTTCAATTTTCTTTTCTGCTTGCATTGCAGCTCTGATTTTCCTCCACTTGTAGTGTTGTTGAGGATATTTCCCAGCCTAGTATCCGATTTCAGGGTGTGTGTGTGTGCACGTGCGAGTGTGTGCACACGCATGTGCATGTATGTACAGGTACTTTTCGGTAGGTCAGAAAGAAAACGTGCCCTGTTACTTTAGTTCTTGGGAGACATGGAGAAGTAAAAAGAATGGATGGTCTGTTTTAAAAAGTCCATGGTGGATCTGTGGTTCATAGAGGGAAAACCGGACAAAGGGGGGAAAAGTGAATCTTAGTGCTCCTAATGAAATAAATTCTTTATGGAGAAATCCTCTGCATGTTTAGATGGCAGCAGTCCTACAATTCCCAGCATTCTCCAGGCAGCATGACTGGAGGGGAACTCTAGGACATATTTCTGTTTAAACATGAATAGGATTGCATGTTAAGTAAGATCTAGTGATTCACCACCACATCCCAGAGCTACAGATGGACTTTGTTTGATGCTCTTCTACCTCTGCTGTTTCTGGGCTGCTTCAACCTGTTAAGTCTGGAAAAATCCCATCTGCTACATGGCTGGCCAACTGTTCTGCCTTTTAAGGCTCCTTCAGCCCTATTCTGTGCTTTGCCATGTGATGTGTAGAGCTCCTACAGTTGGCTTGCAAACTGTTCCGCCTTCTTTCTGGAGTTTTCCAGCAAAACAGGAGCAGTCGGCTCTGCCTCCAGTGACCCATGTGCCACACCCTCACATTGCTTGCCCATCAGCCGCCACTACGTTTACATGGGGCTGGATCCAGGATCTGCTTCTGGAAGGCCCTTTGCCCTCTGTTTCTCTACCCACACCACAGACTGCCCCTCCTGACTCTCCGTGCTGCATTTTCAGGCAGCCAGAAGGAGTGAATGAAAAAATCCACTTCCATCAGTGCAGTAGATCCAATGTAAATCTAGATCCACCATGGATAAGAATATAAGAATTGCAATGCTAGATCAAATCAAGGCCTACCGAGTCTCTTCACACATTGGCCAAGCAGCTGCCCACAGGAAACCCACTTGGATGACAATCCAGCTGAAGACAGTGGGATTTCTTTCCATGTAAACATGCATGCCCTTTGCATGACCTTAGCATGTGCAGCACCTATCGTAACAGCAGCAGCTGAGGTCAAACATACCTCAGCTGCAATCTCAGCATCAATGTCCAAAGGGCAAGCTTCCCACACTCCACACTTGGTGTGGTGGGACTCACCGGAAAGTATCTCCCACCCGGTCCCGGAAATATAAAAAGCCTTCATCGTCTTGCATCAGGAGGTCACCACTGTTGAAGAAGCAGTCTCCTTTCTCAAAGACATCCCGCAGAATCTTCTCTGATGTCTGGCGATCTTCTGTGTAGCCCGAGAATGGGTTCAGCTTAGTGATCTTGCTCACCAGTAAGCCTGTCTCCCCTGGGTAGGGAAAGAGAAATCACTAGAATCCACTGATTAGCAGAGATCCCAAGACAAGGGTACCTTCAAGTGGTGTGCGGTGTCTGGAAAACATCCTGGAAAATTTGCAGTCACTTCAAATCAACAATGATCTCATATATCATGGTGGTTTGTCCATATTAAGCCACACTGAACAAATGAGTCCTCTTAAATTTATTTACAGTGTAAACTATTTGATTATTATTATGAGCACGCAGCTTCCTTCTGAGCAGCAGAATGTTTCAGTGGTCCCAGCATTTCCTTGGATCCCTTAGAAGGTCACTGGAGACCTATGGCATTCCTATGATATCATGTTTATTAACACAAGGGATATTGAACTTCAAGACCAGGGTCAAACTCCGCCCATCAGGGCCAGGGTTGCCCAGCAGACCGTATCCCCTCGACCACGTCACCTGCTTTCCCCTCCTTTTTCATATTTTGTTCCTTCCCCATTTGCCTTGGGACCCCCACCCCGCACCCTTCAGCCCTGCCCAGCACTGGAATGTGGCTCCCAACAGCTTCACTGAATTTAGCCCTTGTGCTGAAAGAGACATCTGATGTGTGCCTAGGACAGCTTTCATATTAACAGTGGCCAATACATATTAAGTCCCATGGGTTAATTAGCCTATGGCGGCTTAACGTCACATGTGAACTGGGCCACTGTTAACCTGCTGTCAGCTCTTTTTGAAATACTGCCTGCAGGCAACTTCGATATTGACAGCTCTGCTTACTGAAACTTTAGAATCAAGAGTGGTAGTTGGGATGGATCCTGGATGTCTTTTTAATATGGGAATGGGGTGCAAAGAGTTAGGGGATGGGGAGGGGATGCAGAGCAAAGTGAGGCAGCTGCTGGGGATGACAGAGCAAGGTCTTGGAAGAGATTGCTGCAGAGAACCTACTGTTGTTTTCAGGTATGATGAAGGAGGCTGTCCTATCACCAGTGTTTGAAGAAAAATAACTACCGGGCTGTTTGGCTTCTGTGCATGGAAGTGAAGGGAACACAGTCTTGCTCTTTGCCTGCACAGTGACCCAGAGTTCTCTGAAGTAGCTGCTAATTTTGCCCCTGCCATCTCACCAGCGCTGCAGTAAGCCATGCAGCCAGAAGCAGCAGCAAAGAAAAGGGGAAGGGGCACATGGGAAGAGGAGCCCTGTGACCACAGTGCTGCGTATCTTCTCCAGCATCAGATGCTGAGCTAGTATGCGCTGGCCCTGGCCCTCCCAAGTGGGGCCCTTGGTTCTTTCCCTCACTCCACTATGTTCCAACAAAGTGCTTCTGCCATCCAAACCCAGGGAGTGGAACTCAGGCTCCCCCAAGCAACAGAGAGGCCCTGTGAAAGTGCTCTCCAACTGGATTCCCACCGTTCAGATCCTCACGTCCTGGAAGAAGTCAGGCAGGAAAAGGTGCCAGCCCTGTAAGATGGCTGGAAACAGCCCTTGAGGCAGCAGAGCCTCAGGAGGAGTCTCCTGGCCTGGCTATGCAACCCAGGCAGCCAACTCTTATCTTAGGTGCAGTGCTGGTGGCTGTGATCCTCCCGCTTCCAGAGCTTTTCCACATGTGGCGTTTACTGTGTGCTCCTGATATCTCACCTGCACAAGCTTGTGTAGCCTGTTCAGGATGTCATCCTCCTCCCTCCAGGGCTTCTCCTGAGCTTTCCTGCCATGTTTCTTTCCACAGCAAAGAAAGGCTTGCTTTTTCCTAGATAGTGTGGTATTCCCTACAGAAACCTGGCATATATTGTGATTGCACTCAATGCCAGAGCACCACCTAGTGTTGTATGATGGAACACAGAGCCATGTATAGAAAGAGTAGAAAACTTCGGGGCAGGGAGAAGCCTCATGTGATGCATGCTGTAATCCTGCTGCAAAGAAAATGGAAGAAGAAGCCGTAGTAAAGCACAGGGTTAGAGAAGACCCAAGCCAAGCTTTTTCAGTCAGGGCCCTGAACCACCTGCCCTATTCCACATCTGCACCAGCAAGCTGCCTTACTTTGTCCTGCCCTGTCCTGCCCTGCCCTGTCCAAGCTGTTGCCTTGCTGGGGGGATGGAACCCCTGCAAGATCAGGAATGTCTGGTAGTTTGATGAAGGTAGAATCGTACAGATAGGAAGTTGCATTTTACTAATTCTGGTCTATTTCCTCATATCAGTCAGTGCAGTGATGAAACTGAGTGGAGCAGATTGTAAGCAGTCTGATTTAATCGATGTCATTCAAAATGGGAAAAGTAAAATGAAATTATTATTGAGTGGCACAACTGTGCTGTGGGGGAAAGACAGCTTGGTTTTGCTCTATTCTCCGTTGTGTCTCTTTCAATGGCTGTGTGTAGAGTCCTTTACACACACTTTAAGATATATTCATTATGAAAATCAATTCCTGCCCTGCAATGACATTTGCTCCAGCACTATCCAAGAACTGCTTACAGCAGACAAACCAAAAATAGATTCATGCTTATTGTACCAATGCTAGTTGCACTGCTGGGAGCTATTTTAGACATCATTTTTCTTGATATAGTATAAGCCCTCCAAAACCCAGCAAAAGTAGTTTGACCACAGATTGTGGTTTGTTTTTAAAAGAATAAAACTGAATGTAAATCACAAGCAAGGACAACCTGGCAATATTGCCTTAGAGACAAAGCTCATTAGCATACAACCAAGTCTGCTGCATTTCCACAGAAGAGGAAATATCTACAGCACAAACTTAGCTGAATATTAAGATGGGACATTTATTAGCCCTCCAGGAGGACCTCCCCCCGCCCCCCAAAGCCTCCTTATCCTTTGACTGCCAACAACCATTCCAGGAGGCTGCAATAAAGGGTGAGGAGAGGGAACACGTTAGCCTGCTTCATTTTCCCCTCTTCCCTCCCCATCCATTTTCCCTTTTATGTCATGTCTTTTTAGATTGCAAACCTGCAGAAAGCATCCACCTTGTGTGATTGATCAATTGTAAGCTGTTCCGCAGAGTGGGATGAAAATACTTTAGGTAAGTAAATAAACTGGAGAGCCAGTGTGGTGAAGTGGTTAAGAGCATGGGACTGGGTCTCAGACGATCTGGGTTCTAGTCCCTGCTCAGCCAAGGGGCCAACTGGGCGACTTTGGGCCAGTCACAGACTCTCAGTCCAATCTACCTCACAGGGTTGTTGTTGTAAGGATAAGATTGCGACCAGCAGGAGGGGAATGATGTAAGCTGCTTCAAGTATGTTAAAATAGAAAACAAGTGGGATATAAAACTAATAAATAAATAAATAAACAGCCATTTTAACAGTCATAATTTCCTCCAAGGAATCCTAGAAATCATAGCTTGGTGAGGATACAACATTCCACTGACTGATACTGCTGTCTTTACAGAAACTTCCCCCTCCCCAGTCCTCAGAAATCACGGTTCCTAGACTTCTGTTGGAATCTATGAGCAGTATGCTGTGGCATCATTCTGCAAACTCAAATGCCACTGGCAGAGCTCTGACAATTCTCCACTGTGCAAGTGATTATCCACTGGGCTGGCACAATTGCTTCGGGGCCTAGTTTCCAGCAGTGAAACATCATTCACACTAATACGATTACACAGCTGGATGCTGCTCAATATGCCAACAATTTCAGTTATGTCATCTGACTATTTGAATATAAATTATGCTAGCTAGATAACTATTCTATTGTTTAATCCCAGGTGATTGGGGCAAAACCGAGCAAGTGGGAAAGGAAAAACCTGTACTACATGTTTACTCTTTGTTATCCACAAGTAGCCCACTCAGCCAGAACACACTGACTCCATCTTCTCTGGGGCCAAGAGAAAGAAACCTCCCTTTTGTAAGCAAACGCAGGGCTCTGCTTAAACTAAAGCCCAGGGCACTGGCACCAGTCTCTTCAGCAGATGAAGCAGGTGATGGCATCTGTAGGCCAAGCTCAAGCACTTGGCCACTTTGCTAGTAAACCATCCAGGTGCATGAAGAATAACAATCTTGCATCTCCTTTACTGGATGAGCCACTGTGGGCCAGTCAGTAGACACAAAACCAAGAGATGCTTCTGAAATCTCCATCCAGGCAAGGGGGGAGGGACCAGAGGAGTTATACTCCACGGAGAAAGGCCATTGGGCACATGGGGCTTGTTCTCTTCCAGCAGAGGAGCCAGGAGCAAGTCTACCAGGAAGTCAGGGAGCTTCAGGCAGGCACATGGAGAGATTGCCCAAGGCTTCTTTAGTAAGGGCTTGGGACCTGGTTATCTATAGGAGCGCCTGCATCCATATCTGCCCTCCCGCCTCTTGAGATTGGCGGCAGAGGCCCTTTTATTACTATTATTATTATTATTATTATTATTATTATTATTATTAT